TGCACTCACTCATAAACAACACTCTGCTGAAGGGCTCCGTTCATAAGCCTGTCATGACAGCTGACATAACCCTATACAGACATTTCTAATGGCTGTTCTAACCAGCGTTAACACTGGAGCTGAAATGACATCAAAACTGACAAAAGCTGCCTTTGAGACTGTCGACGCTTGTGGGAATAAGCCTTTAGGAGTGTTTATGCAGGTGTTACCCAAAGTGCCGTGCTCATAAACAGCATGAAATACGGCAAAAAGATCTCACTGTCCAAAGAAAAGATATCAGCCTCCTCCAGCATATCGCTCTTGTCGGAAGAAAACCTCATATCTCCAAAACGATAACTTCACAGGAGAAGGAAAAAACCTACTTTACTTTTAATGTAAGTCATTTTGGGTCGTTTCTTTTGGTCCATTGTTCATGAAATTTACACACAATGTAAGGAGCAACAGGCATTTTCAGATTATGTAAAAAACTGAAAAATGACAAAAATGGAGATATGAGGTTCTCTATACATGCTTATAATATACAGTTTACTATAGGACTCATATCTCCATTTTTTCGTTTTTCAGTTTTTGCCATCATTTGAAAATGTCTGGTCTTTACATTATATGTAAATTTCATGATGAATGGACCAACAGAAGTGGCCCAAAATGACGTGGAGAAACGTCTGGTTCCATTGATTTACATTAAAAGCAAAGTATGTTTTTTGCTTCCCCTGAAAAATTACCATTTTGGAGATACGAGTGCAGCATATATTTATACTTATATTAATAACAACATAAAGAGTGCATATGGACGGTTAGGCATTGGTCCGTTTGCTGGGATTGTGTTACCTCACTGAAGCATATTTGGAACTACAGTCGTGTGCAAAAGTTAGTGCGCCCCTGGTCAAACTATGTTTTTGTTGATTTTATAAGTGAAAATACGCACCTGTCCTCTACAAGGAACACATTCTAATGCACACTTACTGTTTGTTTTAACATATTGGGGGGGAGAAAAAAAAATTGTATGGCCTGTGCACATTTTATATATTATATTAGATTTTTTCTGATATGTTAAAGTGAACTGACAGAAATTGTACTGTAATTCATTTTCACTTAGTGGATCAACAAAACATGTCATTTGAATCTTTGCATACAGCTGTTCATACCAACATGTCAGTAAATGCAGTTCATTTTTTAAAAAGCTAATTCACGCCAGTTGATTCTGTTTACCCATCAGCTATTGGCTGTACTGTAGATTTGGAAACTATGACTTTTAATGTCGCTCGTAAATGACTAAATATAACTGACAACTCACGTGTTACTCAGTATGCAAGCGTGATCCGGTTAACTGAACCCGTTTGCTAGCTATCGTTTATATATAAATCTGGGAGTCTAACCATAAATGAATGTTGGTGATCATGCGTTCATAACGTAAGCAGAAGTAAACATGAAACACTATAGACTGCAGTAAAGTTACACAATATGTGGAAGCAGGTTTGATTACGTCTCGGTGTCATGCGCAGACACATAAAAAATAAAAACAGCTTAAATGTTATAGCAATAAATAAAGGATATTAAAATGTTTTTTAATAAGTTAAAAGTAAATAAGTAATAAAAATAAATCTTAATCATATGTGAAGCAATATGCTTCATTTTATTCATTGTTATAGTCATGATTTCCCAAGAACCCCTAAGTCATATGCTTTTTAATCCAGTGTTTTTGTCTTAGGGGGGCCCAAGTTGTTTGTGGTGGGCAGAGGACCAAGAAGACAAAAAATATGCAAATAAAGAAAAAATATTTAAAAATATATTTTATAACATGACATAGTTAGAATACTAAATACTACCACTAAAAACTAAAAATTACAGTTTTTACATGTAAATAATTATTTGCACATAGTATGCAAATGTTTGTTCTCTCATCAGGGGACAGGGGGGGTCAGGGCAACTTTCGGGTGGGCCAAATCAAACGTCCTCATGGGCCACACTTTGGTCTGAACAATAACAGCCAGATAGAAGCTAATATTTCTCTTTAGGTCATTCATAACTGACCAAGGGCCTCCACTTCATTCCTCTAAACGTCCTGAGTTTGGACTCCAAAGATGAATATGATATCATACTCAGCTGTGCTTCATATGTCTGTTTACTTCTCAGAGATTCAGTCATTTACAATGAACACAGCTGCCTGACACGGAGCCTGAGTGCAATGTAGATATTAGCTTGGTTTCTTCAATGAAAACAAAGGTCCAGGCCTCAGTTTGAGGGGGATCCAAGGGGGTTTCCCATAAGAGAAACTGTCTTTGCCCTGTTTTGAATTAAAACTCTGATATAATAATGATATAAATGTTATCGAGAAAAGCAGAGACGTAGTTTCTTTTGATGTTTCAGGAGTTTGTGTGAAGGTTATTAAGACGGTGCACGCTTTGCACTGGAGAAACATCTAATGACCGTACAAGTACGTATCGCTCATACACTGTTGAAAAAGTAAGGGCCGGAACGGTCTGCCGGACCACTGCGGTCATTCGAACCCACTATCCCCCTTTATTTATTTATTTATTTATTACAGTTTAAACCCTTGACTACAGGTTTAAAACTGCTGTCATATAGTCTTATAATCATAGTTTCAAACCAAGACGCCTTCAAGACTTTAAGAGCTGCATTTCAACCGCAACGCCATGTTGATCAGTTATCATTGAGATATGAAGGCCACTGAAGATCTAAGCAGATTTTGCCCAGGTCATCCAGTTTAGGTCCCAGTGTGGCTTCTATTCAGCTCAGCATAGTTACGTTCTAGAACGTCGTCCAAGGAAAAGGTGTCCAGACCTATTTGTGAGCACAAATCGCTGCACTGTTACACTGTTAGTAATAAAGGTTCTGTGCAGGAACATTTCTGTTCATCAAGGTACAAACAGTGTAAATGTTCCCTCAAAGGTACAACAGTGGTTTTAAGGTCTGATTGTAAACCTTAAATAGGTTTTTCCAAGTGAAAAGTTTGTATTTGTACCTTTTTTATAACCGAATGCTTTAATACAGAACAGTAAAATAAAAGCCTGGAGCCCAGACGGGGTACTGAGATGAACCCTTGAAGGTACCACCCAAATGACAAGAGGGACACTGACCCAGTGACAGTTTACTAACTTTTTTCTGGGAGTGTGTGTATATAATGTATATGTTAGCAGAACCATGTTAATACCATAACATTACTCGTTCTTATGTTATTATGTGTTCAGTATAGGTTTTGAAAGGTAAAGGTAAAGGTGTAAAGCAATTTCGGCAACTAGTAAAAGAACATACATAACTATAGACACCTAGCCTTATTTTATATTACCATTTTTTATATATAATCTAAGACAGAAACCAAAGTTTAGCCATTATTTTAATCAAATTTAAAGGTGTTTTTTTGTCTAATGGTCAGTTCCAGCCAAGCACCCCAACAAGAAACCATTCAAGAATAGCTGCTATTGATTTTTGGTCGCTGTAACCGACTGATATGCAAAACAAGTTGGTCTAAAATGTTCTGAACGCTATCTTTCCACCAGGACGGATGTCTAGTACAATTAAAGATAAATGCAAACGTTCAACTATTCCCCTTTAAGTTGTGAAGCAAAGCTCAGCAGTGAAATAATTACCAGTTTCATTTACACTGGTGCCGATGGATGTGATAAAATGGTAACTTTACCAGAAACTGTAACTTTGAATGGAAGTTAATAAAACAAGATATTCTTCTAAGGAATTTTGGAGCACTCCTATTGGTTCATCGGTCATGAACTTTTAAAATGGAGATAAAGGTTTGGTCCCGACAGTGACGAACGAACTATGTAGATATGTTCCTAAATGGTTTTTGGCTTTTACAGGTTCTAGGAACAATCGCAATCGGCATAGAACCTTCACATTGTGTGGAAATTTATTAAACTGGTGCGTCTTGTTTACAACATTGATTCTTTAAGGAGCCGTCCATTGAAAGGTTCTTTAAGGAAACAGAAATGGTTCTTCTATGGCCGCTCAGTGCAATATGTATGAGGTCAACAATTAAAGCCACTGGACCAATGCTCAGAAGCTAGAGGTCCATTATCCAAAGATTAGTGCTCTTCGAATACTCCGCCATCAACTTACAAAGGCTTTGCTAAGTAGCTGAGTAGTTGAACCAGCTGTGATAAATTAGCGATAACGCTAAATTCAGAGCTTTGGCCCTCTGGGATGCTAATTCTTGGACCAATTGATAAAGCAGATACCAAATTTTTAGTAGCATTAGCATAGCTTATCACAGAAAAGCAGACTCTCATGCCAATCAACAAATCTGAACTAAGCACAATATTTAGTAGCATTTTTACTACAGTTAAAATGTCAATTGACTTGGTTCAGTAGTGTGTTTTTAATGTTAATTGCACTTTGGAAAGAAATTTTTCATATAAAAAATGTATCTTTACATATATACCATATATAAAATTGTGTAAAGCAGTCTTTACGTATGCAACATATATAATGAAGCTTTCAAAAGTGAGCTCACTTAACAGAATTTCTCAATAGAACGGTGGGTGTTTATATTCTGGTGGTTATTTTGAGGCCCACAAGTTCTTTCAGCCTGTATATAAGAATGACATCGTATCTGAAAATATTAATATGAATATATGAGAACACAAATTTGTAAGAACTCTTTAAATTGATATCTGATTTACAAGTCTTTCTTAGGTACTAACAAGCCACGGTCAGTACAAACGTGGAGAACGCAACGCTGCTGAAAACCCCTTATATGTTTGCGCTTATCAAACAATCACTGTCATTTAGAAATAAAACAGTACCAATGTTGTTGGATCTAAATAGTAAAATCTCATTATTGGACCGTAAAAAGTCAAACACAAGCCAGCATCTAAAGCTAAATGACCTGACTTCTGTTTTTCGTCACTGAAAACTGAAGCCGAGAATTAGGCCTACTGAATTTATCATTATTACAATAAATATATATGTATATATATATATATGAGCTGAGATGGGGTATGAAGTTAAATTTCGGCCGTACTTACAGTGCTGAGAAGGTGAGTTGACTCCCAGTGTTGATGCTTAGCGACCTACAGTGACATTAACATCCTCTAACTAGCTTTGCCACACAGGAAACAGTGTCGTCTCTTCTGCTCCCCTATCTACCTCACCAGTGTTGTTGGTTTATTTTACGTTTACTACTTTCTCAACACTTTTCTCTCCCTCCTCCCACCCAGACCACCTTCAGCATGTTAAAGATCGTCAGTGCTCGCTGCTAACATGTTAACCTCTGTGGTCTAAACAGTTGCTTTCACTCTCTTGTTGTAAGCCCCCAACAGGCCCCCATACACCTAGTTCTGAAATGATAAACTGAACGTACACTGCTCTCAAACTGCACAAATTTTGCAAAATTATTATACGAAATATTGTATTTACAGCACTTACTGCATACATAAAACTGTACCACAATTACCACCTGAAAATTAGCATCACTCTCTTTTATCACACTTAGAAGAGAGCGGGGTTGGTTGGCACAGTTTTCAGTCCCTGCAAATGAAAGCTGAACCTCTTTCTGAACAGTGAAGAAACAGACTTTCAATGTCAGAAAATATTTCCTGAAATTAGTGCATTCATGACTAAATTCATCTCGGACAGCATAGGGCTGGTTGGCACGATGTTAAAAAGCTGCAGTTTGGATGAATAAATCAAATGCAAATGCAAATTATGTGAGCAAACAAAACAAAACAAAACCATTCAACAGCAAGCAAATAACATTTTGAATTAAACGTTTTCATTTCATTCCATTAATCATTAGCACAATAAGAAGAATAGTAATAAACAAATAAATAAAATTATATGAAAAAATAAAACTCTTGTTTATTAGCCTATATTAAAGCATTACAGTTTATTTCATTGTCTTCTTAAAATAGCATATAAGAGTTTCAGCCATTCGGAAATGAACACTGTGCCAATCAACCTGATTCTCCCCTACATAAAAGCACACAACAATTCTAGTGTATAGAAGTACAAATCTCCAAACTGGTACGTTTACAGGAGAAGGAAAAAACAATGGGCCTCATTTACCATGTACACCAAGTTTTTTCTTAAATTTCTTCTTGAGAAAGGTCTTAAGAAAAGGTCTACATCAGATTCATGATGTGTTCTTAAAGTGCAGAATTCTGTTCTTACCTGAGAAAAAAATCACAAATAAGAAAACATGGGTGAACATCAGAATCTTCAAGAAAACTGCTTAAGTGGGTTTTGAGGAGAAATTTCTTAAAAACGGATGGTGAACAAGGCCCATTCTTACCTTTTAAAGAAAGTTAATGCAAAGAGATTTTATTCCAAGCAATTTATTCCAATTTTATTGGACCATTTCTCAAAAATGGACATAAAAGAGTTTGGCCCGACAGTGACGATATGTACCCGTATCTATACACTAAATATGTACTACATTTAAGTGCGTTCGACTTGGTTCGGAAGTGGGAAGAGGTTGGAATTGCATCACTTTCCGCTACAAACTGGGAAAAACATGGACGCCTCCATGAAAGTGAGTACTGTTAGCAACAAGCTGGCCAGCTAACGCTAGCGAAATGAGTGATAACATTAACACTCGATGTATTTACATTCTCAAAACTGAACTTCATGGTCAGTGTTACAGATTTACCCACTACTATGTCTGCATGTTGACATAATCTCAAGCTAATCTCATTTAAAAGCTGAGAATTGGGTTCTTACTGCTATTGGCTGTTCAAGCAGCCATGTTGAATTGACACCATACGCTGTTGAGAACACCTTCCTGACTTTCCGAGTAGAAATTCCCAGTTGAGGGGGCATATCCAAGTGAAGAGCTTCAGTCAAACGCTGTACCAGTGTGTAGCATCCTTCAACAAGGAATATGCTGCAAAGTTAGCAAGCTAACTGGTTCTGTTTACTGTAGATTGCTGACTAGAATGTCTTTGTTTGCCTCCACACTGTGCTGTCTTGAAGCCAAAGCTGGCTTTTGGCTTGTTAACCCACAAATCTATCCTTTGTTGTGTTATATTCTGCCTCCCAGCTGTACATGTGTGAGTGTGTGGCCACCTGTGCAGATCTAACAGCCCCCCATCTGTACCACCGCTAGCGGGAAGCGCTGCTAATTCAAGCTGGTGCAAATGTAGAGAAGCACACACACACACATGCATACACACAGAACGTTTATTTCAGGGTTTAAGAAAGAAACCAAGGTTTAAGAAAGAAAGCATCCATTAGTAACATCTTAAAAGACCTTATCTGTTGAAAACGTCTTAAGCTACGACTCAGGCTAAGCTGAACATTAGACACTCATAGAAAGAAGATTAAAAAAAAATATGGCACATTATCATTAGCCTGCAAACTTTCCAGAAATTATAGTATTTACAAATCACAGACATAAAGATATGACATCAGAAAAGAGCCCACTTATTTTCCTGTACCTCTCTGGTGGGCTAATATGTTAGCATCACACTGGTGCTAATATATGGAGCAGAAATGAAAGAGCAGCCACAGGAACAAGACTGTATAAAAGCTAATCTGCATTTTTTTCAGATATCCAACACATAAGAAAGGCTTAATAGTAATATTTCAGAGCAGTGTATGAGCTCATTGTACATGGATACATATTTACATTCATTTAAAGATAATTATTTGCAGCTTTGTTTATGGCTATATTTGCAGCTGCATATGGTCATGCTAACATTGTACTGTAGCTAATAGATAAAGCTGAAATGAAGGAATAAGAATTTATGAACACTAATCAGCATTTTTTTTTTAATTTTTGGTGTCTCTGAAACTTCATTCTTCTCTATATTATTATCAATCCCAATCTCATGGAACTGTCTGATGTTATTCATTCATAACGTCATATTGATATCTGGGCAGTGGAGGTGGTCTCTCCTTCTTTCCTTCTGGATGAGGCTGTCTTACAGGCCTTTTGGGAGAAAACAAAGAGCACATATGTAAAAATTACATACAGCGTAAATATTTCTAGTGGCCTTTTAGTCATAAATTAAAAGATATCTGCTTTTGAGTGTTTTGCTCTTCAACTGTAAATAAAATTCTGTGGTATTGCAGAATCATTGCATTGTTGCATATTATCTACAGCATTTACTGTATACACACAGTACTGTGAGTTTAATTTCATGTCCAGTCAAAATGGCCATTAAGCACTTATGAATAATTTTTGTCCACACTTTATCTTTATTACAGCGTCCATTCCTTTCTCGTTTTCAGTTTTTCAAAGAAATCTGCGAGGATATTTTTCCATATTTCCAAAGTTCAGTCTTAGAAGCTGGTTGATCATTTTCTGAAGTAATCAAACCCATTCAGTGGTGTTGAGGTCTGGACTCTGGGGTGGTCAGTCCATCGTTCAGCTTCTTTGTTTGATGTGTCTGTCTCCTTTTCTCAGTGAGGTTCTTCTTGACAGCTACACATCCTTTCAGACCCACAGCGCTGAGTCATCTTCTCACAGTGGAAAGATGGACAGAAACACCTGTGGATGTTTTCAGATCTGAAGCAGCTTGATTTTCTCCTCTCTCTCAAAGATGAAAGCTTTAAGTGCTGTTTATCTGATGGGGGCAGTTTTGGTGTCTACCAGGTCTTCCAGGTGGTTGTTAGGAGGCCCGTTTTCTCTGTAGCTTTTAATCATTTTTTGAACTCTAGTTTTGGAAACTCCATGTATTTTCCTTAGACTTTCCCTTCCTTACACAAGTAGATTATTTTATATCTATTCTTCTTCAAAACATTTCTGGAAAATAAATAACTCACAGTCCTAGATGGCCATTTTGACTGGAATATTAAATAAATGAAGGCTGGTCTCAGTACTGTATAAAATGCAACTGAAATGACAGGGCTACACAAATGACTAATAAAAAATACAGCTGAATCACAATCATTAACAGTTAACAGGACTATATTTCTGAATAAAGAATATGTAAGTTATGACATAATAAAGTACTTATACCTAAGTGCATGTAGACAATTATGTATCATAACTCTATATGTCGCTGCTGTCAGAACAAAACCTTGTATCTCCAAAATGGTACCTTTACAGGAGAAGGAAAAACAAACTTTACAAACAAACTTTACTTCTAATGTAAAGTTCAGTGGAACCAAATGTCTTTTCAATGAATTTCTTTTGGTCCATTCGTCATAAAAATTACGTACAGTGTAAAGGGCAACAGGCATTTTCAAACTATGCCAAAAACTGAAAAACGACAAAACTGAGCAATGCTGCAATGTGTAAGTATATCATAGATTTTATCTTAAAATTGATAAAAATACATAAATATCTGTATAAAAAAAGGAAAAGGTACCTGTCACACTGGCAGTAAGTCCTGTTTGTGAGAGGCTGGCGCATAGACCTCAGTTTTCTCACCTTTCTCTGAGGAAGAAGAAAATCTTTATGAGATCCTCTCTCTCTCTCTCTCTCTCTCTATGTAAATATATATATATATATATATATATATATATATATATATATATATATATATATATATTTATATATATATATACATATATATATATATATATATATAACTCTCTTTTTTCTTACCCTCATGCGTCTGTTCCTGTGATACATTAGTACGATGACGACAGCCAGCACAATCAGAAGTACGCCGGCTACTGCTATGGCGACCCAGACCCACATTCCTACAGTAGCTGGGCGTTCCACATTTGCTTCTAAACAAAAGCAGTAATGAGTATTTTCAGACATACAAACACACAAAGCATTAGGTACACTCAAGTACTCCGTTAAATGTTCGAAGTGCCAGTATTTCAATGCTAAAATTACTATTCGGTACTCGTTCTGTTTTATCACAGGAAGAGAATATAGCGACAATTCAACAAAATTGCTCATATTTGTTTGCAGCTCTGTAATGGGGATGCCTCAATGTGAGCGTGTTGCCAAGGACATAACTGAGAAGGCAAATGTAGCACAAATGTAGCAGCTGATGTTTGCTAGTTCCAGAAACAGTGATTTATTTCTTTTACAAAGTAACATGTTGGCACGGTCGGTTAGCTATCGTTTTAGCTCATCTGAAGAGGCAGCCTACGTTACTCCTCCACCTTGGCTTTTAAAAAAAAAAAACCTTGGCTTTTTAAAAAAAACTTTTCAAGTTAATTTCTTGGCATGCTGTTAATTTGTTGTGCTACAGATTTGCAGCCTCTTAACATCAGAGCCAGAATAAACCTCTGGTCATACATTAATTTTGGCCAGTGTTTTTTGGACATTTATCACGTTTTTCCTTGGATATTAACATTAGTCAGAATGCACATCCCCAAAGCAAGAAAGAATTTCTTAAATAGCTTTGTAGTTATAGAATAACTGGGGTTCTCTAAAGGTCCTTCACAGCCTGTGTAATGATAGACTCATTATAGGTAATTGCTGGGGGGGTGGCAGGGGCGGGCATGTTAAACCCAACCTTTTTCAAAATCCACTTTTTTTAAAGTTACAAATTTATCTAGAGGTTGTGACAGGAATGACTAAACAGTGCAGATCTACTCTTAATGTCCAGCTATCATGATGTGGATGGCAGAAGCACCTGCTGACCTGATACACCTGATATATGGATATATGAATGGCTATATTTATATGGTTATACTGTAACCATTTCCACTAGGAGTAATGATTTGTGAGACACCCAAATGGCACGACAAATAGGAAGAAATTCGTTTGGTGAATGAACATCCATTCTGTCAACTTCACACCACCACACACACTTCTGGACCCAAAACTACATCCCAAAGTTAGATGATGCCATTGTTGAGGACCCGCAGCCACAGGCAGCTAATTTTGTACTTAAAATGTACATCTCTCTTCCACATTTTGGGGTACTGGCAGTGGCGAACCATGACTATTAGATCCAGGCCTTCAACCTGTGGCATAAATGTCAAAGCTGGTCCCACCTTTTGGAAATCAAAACATGACTAATCGAATCCTCTGTCACTTTGTAATTACACTGATAGTTAATCTAACGCTAGGACTTCTCTTCAGCTCCTGAAGTCCTAACCAAGAGAGCTCGCTAAGCTGTGTCTACCTAGATACCACAGAGAAAAACAATTCCTGGTTTCGCGCTGGGCATTTCAATAATCTAACCGTTCTGCTTCCATTCAAAACTTTACAATGAAAAGAGAGCATTACTGCAAGACTCGCAGAGTTTAAATACAAGCATGATTCTGTTGAATACAAATTGACTAAAAATTACAGACATGCATTTTTAGTTCCCAGAAATCAAAAGGCCTTCTCTAAAGCCTGAGGGTTCTTTGAGGCCCTGAAAGTTCCCCTCTTGATATTGGTTACGCTGCACTCCACACTGCAGCATATCGCTGCTGTCAGAGCAAAACCTCGTATCTCCAAAATTATAACTTTACAGGAGCAGAAAAAAACTACTTTACTTTTAATGTAAGTCAATGGAACCAGAATTTTTTCCAAGTCATTTTTGGCCACTTTTGTTGGCCCATTCATCATGAAATTTACACACAATGTACAGAGCAACAGGTGTTTTCAGATTATGCCAAAAACTGAAAAACGGCAAAAATGTAGACACGAAGTTTTATTCTGACAATGATATGTGCAGTTCATGAATTGGCGAGTCACGATCATAGCTGATGATTAAGTGTCAGATGAATCGTTGCGATTAATCTTTTGTCTTTTCTTGTTCTTTGTTTGCAACTACTAAAATAAAAAGCCTAAAGTGGCCAAAAAAGATTAGCCACCTTGTTACCCGGTGTTTACTTACGACCCAACAGTGGTGGAATAAATACCCTGCACTGCTGTGAACACAAATGTTTAATCATTGCATTGAATAAAGCTAGATTCTCTTCTTGAGAGTGAAAATATAGGCAAAAACTGTTCATTCTGTGAGTAAACATGCTCAAAACATTAGAATTACCAACACAGCTAACAAATACACAAACACTCCTCAGCACTGCCCTCTAAACATGATGTCTCAATGAATGCATTTACTGCATTTACTCTTTTATTTACATTTTTTGCCTCAACCCATTACACCAAATTTTGTTTGTCGCAGCATTTTATGACTGTGAAATCTAAAAAATAGTGGAAAATCACTGCAGTTGGCTTAAATAACTGTGATCATCTCAAATAATTCAATTAGGCGATTATGTAATAATTGTGACAGGCCTATTCATAAAGCTAGTCGGAGGTGCCTGAGCCTAGTTACAGTTACTAAGCCATGATCAATGGTCAAATTGTACTTACTGTAAGCGTTTGGCAAAGGTTTAATTAGCTTTATGCGAATGACATCATGCTAACTAGTGATTTCATTCGTTATTAGACACCTTAGCACTTTGATTTGCTCCTTTCACGTGAGGTCAGTATCTAGTTCAGGAGACGCCAGCTGTGCTTGTGCTTACCGGTAGCAAGAGCGCTTCCTCCCTCAACCTTCAGAGTCAGCTGAGTTGTCAGAATCCCTCCACTCACATTTAGAGTGCAGACATACACACCAGCGTCACTAGGCTTTAACTGAATAAGAGAGAAAGAGCGGAGGTTATACATCTTTCAGTTGCGCAAGTCTGGAAATCAAACAACTGATGAAGATTAAAGGAATGAAAACATCCAGTACTTCTCACTTTTGTCAGTGTCATAGTAAAGTTGGTGCTGAGGGGTTGGAACTTGACTTTTGAACTCGATTTAGACCATTGCAGGTCTTTGCCCACAGTTGGGAGCTGGAAGTCAGTAGGGGGGTTACGTGTCCACCCCACTTCGTCTATACTCAGACCATTTAAACTGGGGATGGAACATGGTAGATGTACGGTGCCTCCCGCAAGAGCTGTAACTTCCAGAGTGGATATTAGAGGGCCTGAGGAGCAAAACAGAACAGTTATAGGCATCCATTTCAAAATAAAAGCCTATGGTTGCTGTTTTGGTTGACAGTGAGGTATATAGAAAGTAACGATAAGCAATATTAGCAAATAATATCCAAATAAAAGTAACATAGAGGACACAAACCTACAACATTGATGACCTGTTCTATATTCTCCACCGTGTTATCTTTGATCTGACAGATCCACTTGCCAGCATCAGCTGAGGTCACAGATTTCAGGGTTACGGTGTTGCCCGGGCTTCCATGAGGTTTATCATCGGGAGGCTTCATCCACTGAACCGGCGCTGTTGAGTTTCCTCCAATGTCACACCTCAGGGTCACATTAGTGGAGATCAGCACTGTGTCTGAAGGACTCACAGAGACTGAGAGAAAGAAGAGAACAAATAATGACAGAGTTAATGAGAATAGTTCAGTCAACAAAGCTAAATTTAGTAAAAAATCGAGCCACTTATTGAGTCTCCCGGAACTTTAGGGCTAAAGTGGCACCTTAATAGGGATCCATGTAGATGAGAATGAAATATAAGAGCAATATTGTTCTTGTACTGCTTTTTATATTAATTTAGTTTTGCGATGATGCTCTCGCTTTGCACCTCTTTCCTTTACAGCGGTGCACTTTCACCCCTCCCTAAAAACTTGATCTTATTTATTTGGATTTTATTTATTATTTTTATTTACAGTCATTTGTTCATTCATTCATCATCTAAGCCACTTATCCTCCAGGGTCGTGAGGGGTGCCGGCCACTCATTGGGCGGGAAACACACCGGACAGGCCACCAGTCCATCACAGCATTTTATATTATTTATTTCAAGGTATATATATTTATATATTATACGCACTTTGTTTTATTTATTTATCTTTGTTTTACATTTGTTTTTGTGTTGGTTTTTCAGCTGAATTATATTTAAAGTTCAAGGAAATCCGCTGTTAAAAAGACAAGTTCAATAAATGCTTGATGTTTCCAAGCACTGGGTCTTAATGAATATGTCCACTGTTAGCTAAGCTAGCTACAATACAGTGATTAGCCTGTTACTGTTCTCCATTTCACTGTAAAACTCACTGCTTACAGTGTAGCTTAAATCCACTACACTGAAACCAGTGAGTGAGACAGTAACAAAGGAAGACTCTGTTAGCTGCTCAGATATACTGTGTTGTTCATGACTAACTCAGCTTTTAATTCCTTCCATCCTGTCACCTTTGGTTTTCCTCTCACCTGACACAACATGCAGTTTGTGCTCCTTTGTGATTCGGTACCCTCTTGCATCAAATCCACTGCAGCTGTAGTCTCCAGAGTCACCGACCTCCACTGAAGGAATCCTCAGACCGTAGCCATTTGGCCTTGCCCTCTTAGTAAGACGCGCGCTCCCTTTAAACAGACACCATTCAGATCTCACAGCTACAGGCCACGTTAACACGAGAAGATGTTCCATAAAACTAGAATCCTAAAGGATGAAGTAACATAAAAAAGAAGATGAAAGATAAAAACGATGTACCTTTGGATGTACTTCCAGATTTGATATTAATTTTTATGACAAGGACACCGCCCTGTTTCCATTCCACATCCCTTGTTGTCTTTGGGTCTATAGCAGTACAGTCCATCGTCACCTCCTGTCCACGTTTCTTGTAATAAACATCAGATCCTCCTGTGGCTGCACACAGAGCTGAAACAGAGAGAAAGCTGTGTAGAACTGCAGTGGCTATACAGACTCAGGAACAGTGAGGATCAGGACTGGATCATTCCTCACTCACCCAAAGTGATCCAGAGGAGGGTTTCTGATGAGGACATTTCTGCCCATCCAACTTCCGTCCAGCTTCTGAAATCAGAGAAACTGAGAATGACAGAATAATGAAGCACTACAGTTCCTCCAACGTTCCTCTAGCGTTCTTCTCGTCTGTAGACTGTTGCTCTAACTCTCCTGCTTGTAAATTACTTCCCTGTGTCTCCATTTATGATTTTTGGTGTGCTGTCTGTCAATTAATTCATTTCTGTATGTAAATTTACTATTATTATTCTTTTGTTTTGGCTACAGGAGAGAATCAGTCAGTGGTCATGTTGATTAATATGCACTGTATAGAAATGGGGCTCATTTAGATTCCTAAAAACACACTTACAATGAATTTCTATTTCCTCTTAAAGAAAAACAGCAGAAGCAGTGTTTCATATATATTTTTTCTTATTTATTCTACGAACACCACCGGTGGCTTCTAACCACAGAAGCTATTTCCGTTCATGCATCTCTCGATTTCTTTTCTCTCCTCTCTGAATCTGATATATGTACTCTTTCCTTGATAAATACATTCTATAAGTTACATACAATTTCTAAAAAATATATTAACAATAGCATCACTTCTGCTGAAATAAACTCATTATCAGCATTTAAAGTGATCTGAAGACGAACGATTCAGAGTCGTTTAAAAAGGCCGAAGTCCCGTAATATAACTACAATGCATTACTAATTAAATTAGCAGTAATATTCATTTTTGTACTTATACATTATATACAGTAAATAATGTACTTATACATTATTTACTGTATTAACATAATACAAAGCAAATCCTGAGTTAAAAGTCAGCACTGAATTAATGATAAATATATTTAAGCAGGTAGGTTGCTGAACATATGTTGTTAAACATATTTTCTCAACAAGGGTGCATATATTGTCATTTTTATTTTATATGTTACGATATGTTGAATCATTCTCTTCCTGTTCCTTCTTTAACACAAATTTAGTCATTTTTTGTTACTATTTTAAATTCTGCAAAATGTTACGCAAATTTATTTCTCTTCTTCTTCTTCTAGTATCTACTTATCTACATATCCTTCTATCTATTTATTTATTTATTTATTTATTTAAGCAAAAAAAATGAAGAAATAATTTGATTCGATTGTATTAAGAGTTTACATTAAAAAAAAATGGGCAAAAAAAAAAAGTGCAATTTTTCTAATCCATTTTAAGAGTGGAAAAAAATAATAAAATTAACTAAACTGATAAAATAAAATTAAATGATTCACGATGCGTTTTTTTAATTTTATACATGTATAAATTACTAAGTTTATAAATGTACGATCACTCGAATACAAAGTTCAGTTCAACTGAAGAGAAAAATAGACTCAGCTGCACTTTTATTTTGAATAATCGACTGTTTTGCAGTTTTTAGTTTAAAAGGCGCAGAAACAAAAATAACTTATTTTGAATACTTACAGGAGCAGAGCTGAAAAAGAGTCTCCGATCAGAAAAGCAGTGAACTGAACTGAGAGAGAGAGAGCGAGCGAGAGAGAGAGAGAGCGAGCGAGAGAGAGAGAGAGAGAGAGAGAGAGAGAGAGAGCGAGCGAGAGAGAGAGAGAGAGAGAGAGAGAGCGGAAGACGGTTAAGCTCCACTGCGGGAGGTTATAATGAAGAATGACCCCGTGTGGACTTTCATCGTTGCTGCATTTGAACAGGTGAATTAACTCCACTTACTTCATTTATTTCATTTGGCTAATAATAAAAAAATAATTGATCAGAATAATAATGAGAGCGAGCTCCCGTAGATCATATCGAGTCACTAAACCGAGCACTAACTGATCCATCTCCCACTGACCTCACTTTATTTTTAGTTTATATGGACGCTGATCAGTGAGATTTGACCACTCGCCAACTAGTGAACGGGCGAATGAGTCCGTTCTTTCTCGCATTTTTTTATACATTAAAGGGGAATTCCACCACTTTTTTTGTCAAAATTTCTTAACAGTTAAGCCGCTGAGATGTAAACAGCGTCTAGGCAAACTCACCAGTCAGAATTGTTCACAGTTCCGAAGAGTTTAATACCCCTAGGGCCCAGTCCCATTTCTTATTTTTACCCCTACCCCTTGTTTTTGAGTGTCTCCTTGCCCCTTAGAACTGAGTTACGAGGGGTAGTGGTTGAAATCTTCCCTATGAAATGGGTCCCTCAAATAAAGAGCATCACTTCATTAACAGCTACCAGCGCTGCTCTGTAGGCGACCCTGCCAGTCTGCAGTGACAGCAGAGGAGGGTAAAGTTCAGCTCCTCACTGCTGGGCTTTAGTTACATTTAGGGAATCATATGCCTTCAAACAGGGGGGCAATTATTTATTATCACCCACCCCTAATTCTTCAGTGATATGAAGCTGAAGTCAGATATTCTCCAGCTTCTTGTTCGAATTTTCCCGTTCCACCTTAAATGGTGCAGCAGTCCTGACGCTGTTGTGACGCCTGAGGCGCCAGAATGTAACTGCTGCACCATTTAAGGTGGAACGGGAAATTTAGCTAGCTTGCTACCAAGACATCAGCAAACTACTAGCGATGTTATGCTTGTTATAAAGAAAATGTCCATAATACACTGAAATGACATTAAACTAAGATATTATAATAGTTATCATAATTTGTACAGGAGAAAATACTTTTGTGGGTTTCTTTGGTCGCTTGTGCTGCCATCAAGCATATCATTCATTTTACCTACCTTTTTCCCAGTTTTCCAGGTTTCAGAAGCCGGCAGGGATGCGGTAGGAGTGTTAACCCCTCTGAGGATCCTCTGTCTTTGGTAACACCTGCAGCTGAAGCTCACGACAGTTTAGCAAATCCTTTACTCTTCCAAATTAGGTTGCTAAGCACCATCACAGGTACATCCTGTATAAATAAAAATAATGCATGGCCACACCTTATTAACGCGTGGGAATGAGATCCTAATGCGTGGCCACGGCTTAGTAAGGCGTGGGAATGAGATCACGGCTTACTAAGTTGTGGCCGCGCATTAGGATCTTGTTCCCACGCTTTACTAAATCATGGCCACGACTTAATCATCTCATTCCCGTGCCTTACTAAGTCGTGGCCACACATTATTTTTATTCATACAGGATGTCACCAGCAGAACTCCATACACAACAAAAAAAGCACAAGAAAGTAAAACGATATGTTGATGTGTTGATTGCTATTTTTTTAATTATTAGCTACTTTATAGAGAGTTCGACATAAAGTGACATAAGCTATACGCTGTAAGAAGCTATTTGTGTCTGTGCACAAAACAGTACAGTGTAGTGATTCATATTAACCAATAGGCTAAGCTAATTAGGTGAGTCATTCTATAGAAACGTCCATTTTTGTGTCCCCAGCGTTTACAGATATATTACCCTTGAAAAACATGTTAGGGTTACAGTTTATTCATATTTTAAAATAAAACAATAAGTTACTTTAACAATTAAACCTTCTTGAGCCTCAATTTAGCAATATTGGTTTTTAAGTCAGTCATATAGAATTCAAGCACCACAGAAGAGCTCGTCCTCACAGTCATGTGTAAAGGGTGAGTGACATATTTTGAGGTAAAAACATTTTCTCCAATTTTACCTGCAACAGTCTATACATGACTAGGATAAATATTATTTAAATGACATAAAGAAAACAAACACCAAATAAATATTTTAAAATATATAGTGAAAGTTGTTGTCCCCGGGAGTCATGTCACTGGTGTTACTGCGTAACAAAAAAAGCTCTTATTTTGAAATAAAATCACACTGATGACATCGCTTGACTTCCTTTTTTCCTGTTTTCTGAGGATCTATGAAGAAAAGCTCATGGTGAGTCCACTGTGTCTTTCAGTTATCAGAGATTTTCTCATTTAGCTCATGATTTCAAATATAACTTTCAGCTGAAGTCACTGGTGTGACCGACTTTATTCTTAGGTAACTGTGAAAAAATAGAAGACAAATGGATTAAATTTCATATTTTAGTGGATATTCCATGATTGACAACATGTGGTTTGATGCTCTGTAGCAGCCATTTTGTAAAATGCATTTCTCATTAAAAATGCCTCTGGTGTGACCTTTCTTATGTGTAACACCAATGACGGTCAGTAACACCAGTGACTCCTATGGAGAGATAAAAAGTGGACGTTTCTGTAGAATGACCCAGGTACAGACAAGGTAGCTAATTAGCCAAATCAGACGTTTTAGAGCTCATGTGTCAAGCTCCAGTCCTCTCGGGGCTAAAACACTGCAGACTTCAGCCCATCAGCTAATAAGCGAGGCCTTCATGAACTGAAGTCAGAGCGTTAGATGAGGGTTAATGCAGCACTTTGGCTCGGAAGGTCCCCGGTTTCACATGCCTGCTTTAGAGTGACCAAAAGACCAACAAATGACCAAAAAGACAATTAAATCATTAATCATTGTAATCAGATGGGAGCAGATGGGAAATGAACCGAGATGAGAACTAGAAGCACTGTTGGTTTATGTTTGGGTTGTTGTGTTTGAATGTGCAGTGGGTAACACTTTTATAAAGCTGGTGCTTCTTTACTAAACCCTGACGTGTTTGGCTGGTGCATATTCATGATCATACGACAAAAATTAACCACACAGAGTCATAAAGTTATCAACCTGGGAAGAACGGTTTTAAAAAGCTTTCTGTTTTTCTAACATCTTGATTAACCAGTTATTTTCTAGGGTATATTTCGGTTTTTTCTATCTGAATTTACATGCCCAAATCCTAAGGCAAATTATTCAGTAACTGCATGAATCAGATGTAAAGTGTTGGTGCTTTTTTTGTAAAAGCTCCCCTCAAATTAACAGAAAATGTGTTTTATGATCGTAAACATAACGTCACATGCTTACAATTCACTGCTGAAAGCCAAAAATCTTAGGTACTCTTTATATTTTCTTATAAATATATATTTTTACAGTGCATATCACTGAAGAGACGCCATCTGAGATCCAGTTTATAGCTCAGATTTGGGGGGGGTTAAGCTTCTTTTATTATAAAGTTACATCACCCATCTATTTGACTGGAAAGAAGACAGTTACAGCTCTCATATGACCCCCACCTTTTGAATGAAGCTTCTAAAATATGAAAGTTATAAAGTAAAGAATATGATGAAGTGCATTTTGGAACCACCAGTGGTTCCACTGAGTTAAAGAGGTCAAATAATTCTCTGCATTAGTACAAAATCATGTTGTAATGCGCTACCTGACTTATCCACCCAAAGTAAGTTGTGATGTAAATTTCAGTGCAGTGGAGAGTTGCTTGCTTGTAGCACATATGTAGTAATATCCATATTTCAAGTGCTAAACCTTGCATTTCATGTGATCCAGTGATATTCAGTGTGTATAGACTTCATTACTGGATACTCTGAATTATTAGACCGTTTAGCAGTCAAAACACAAAAAATGCTACATAAATGCTACAAGCAAGCGAACACGCCTGCACACTGAAATGACATTGCAAGAAAGTAAGTTTGCTATTAAATTTGAACTAAACTTATACCAAAACTGCCAAAGCCTCCAAACGACCACATTTGACACGGCCTACTGGTTTTTGTGGGGTATTTTGCAGAGGTCAGTCTTATAATATCAGTCCAGTGCGCAGCAGTGTTAGCTCGCATGTAGCAACAGGGCTCATTATTCAGCAGATCCGGCCACGTTCAGAGGCAAAATGTCGATACAGCAAATCATATCTGCTTTAGAACATTGTTGTTTACCACAGAATGTGACAAAAGCTTTTTTCCAAAACACCATTCATTTCTGTCTCAGACAAAACCAGATTAGACTAATGGGGATGACGTCAGAGGTCTGAATGTACGTAGGACAAAACATATGAGCTTTGCGGCATTTTTCGTCACCACAGAGCGCACTGGAGGCGATTTCTGACCAAAATGCTATTTCATTTTTTCCACAGAGAGAAACAGCTGAGACATTGAGTTCAGGCCAAACTCCTTATCACTGCATTTGTCTACTGGAGCCTGGCCTCTTTCTGTTTCCCCTGTTATATCAGAAACAAGACTGCAAAATGTCAGAGGGCGTCCGCGAGTGAGTCCCCAAATGAATGGGAGCTAAATGGAGCTAAACGGCTAAAAACGAAAAGTTTACAATTGTTTCTAATCACTCGCCCAGAACTTTCCTCTAATTTTAGAAAGTAGACGGATGTGTTTCACTAAAAAAGCACAGAAACCTCACCTGTATGTTTCCTTTTTTTCTACAGCAAACTGGTTTGGGGCAGCAGGACGCTAACACTGGTTTAGGACGTTAATTCAGTAAAAACAAACCTCAATTATTTCTTATTTCTATTGTTTTTAATGTATTCTTTACTGTATATACTGCAGTTAACATTCTGAATCCACTTGACAACGTGTTTGCTTCTATCTGTCCAAATTAGGGCTCTTCCAAATGAAAAATCACTCCTTTAAGTCATTTCAGAAAGGATTCCTGAATATCAAGATTTATATTTTTAACCATATTGCCCAGCTGTACTTTGTGCATTAGTCAGCTGATTTGAAAGCTCATATGAGGGAGATGAAATGCTGCTATTACATCAATGTAAAGTGAGTGTTGGCCTCAAAGAATGTCTGAATAATGACAGAATCACTGTAGCTACAGAAGATGCGCTAGAGGAGTATTAAAGATGGAATATGTAAAACTATATTTACATTAGCATAGTTCAATACAGTGAGTTTGGTACATAGAACTGGCATACCGATAATCTCAAACACGGCTGTCTCCTCCTTCAAATATAAATCCTGCATTTGTAAAAGAAGGCGGTAAAACAGGCCAAGCCCAAAATCCTGAACTGTTTCATAACAATCTTGACTCATTAATATTTCTGCCCCCAAAATTTACATGCGACAGCGAAGCAACAACAAGAAAATGGCGGACTATGCGCAGAAATGTACCGTTCCCGGCTGTGAAGGTGATGTCAGGAACCTCCAAGAAACCTACAATCTTCTGCCTGAAGGTCCAACCAAGGTTGGCTGATGTTCTTCTTTAAACGAGCCTGCAGTTGGCTTCTTTTTAGCCAGCTTCTTAATCCAATGTTCCGTTCCACCTTAAATGCTACAGCTTGTACAGGCACCAGAATGTAACTGTGGCTCCATTTTAAGTGGAACGGAAAATTCGCAAAAACAAGCTGGCGAATAGGAAGCTCCCACATCTCTGACAGGATCCCGGACAGCTTTAATTCAGAGTTGTTGGTTTGCTCTGCACATTTCACTCCAGACAGTTTTTCAAATCTTGGACAACATAGAGCAGCTTCATTCATTGTTTGAGAGATGGAGAGGCAGTGCTAACTTTATTAGCATCACAACCCCAACAGTAGCCTGTAAGTAGCCATGCTGTGATTTTGTCCACATTTTGATGGTTGAAGCCAGATCAACTTAAGTTAACAGTTTTGTGAGCTAACAGCTTTAATTTTTTTGTTGTTGTCCAGATCAAAAGAGAGTAGCTAGCATAGGTAACATTAGCTACTGTCAAGCTCCAAGTAACTAGCATAGCCAACTAAACTGTATGACGACCTCGCTTATTTACCCAGAGGTTCATTTTCTTTTCCTGAGTCTACTTCGACATGTTGCCTCTGTGTGAATCATACCTGCTTTGGAACATTGTTGTTTACCTCAGAATGTGACATAAGCTTTTTTCCAAAACACCATTCATTTCTGTCTCAGACAAAACCAGATTAGGCTAATGGGGATGATGTCAGAGGTCTGAATGTACGTAGGACAAAACATATGAGCTTTGTGGCGTTTTTCGTCACCACAGAGCGCACTGGAGGCGATTTCTGATAAAAACGCTATTTCATTTTTTCCACAGAGAGAAACAGCTGAGACATTGCGTTCAGGCCAAACTCTTATCACTGCATTTGTCTGTCATGTTGAGCTGAGAGTGCAGGCTAAAAACACACTGATTGAGATCAAAAGAGAGTTGCTAGCATAGATAACGTTAGCTACTAGCAAGCTCCAGGTAACTAGCATAGCTGACTAAACAGTATGACGACCTCGCTTAATCAGGGTTGTAAATTGGCGTATAAAACTGCATCTGGGCATTTTTTTCACCCTGACCAAAGTCACATAACTTAGAGGACAATTTAAAACAATGAATAAATGCATTCTGTGGCAACTTTTTTGTGTTTAACAGTAACGTTGGAGCTAATTGACAATGTCAGAACAAAACCTTGTTCCTCCAAGACAGAGAAACATTCTTAACTTTGAATGCAAGTTAATGTAACAAGATTTTATTCATCATTTTGGACCACTTCTGTTTGTCTGCTTGTCAAGAAATTTTGACATAATGTAAAGAGCAGCTGGCATTTCCAAATTACCTCAAAAAATGAAAAATGGTACATTATAAATATTAGTATATTATAAATATGGTATATTGTAAATATATTGGAGATTATTGGTATAAGTCAGTATACAACGAGGGGAAACAAATATTCAGACTCTTATTTTTTTGGTTATTTAATATACGTCCAGTGAATATGTCCAGTTTAAATGTACACAGACAATGACTTTTGATTTTGCACTTATAAACATGAACAAAAAGGGGTGTATTCATTAGCATAAACAAATGATTAAAAATGACATTCATAGGGGAAGAATGTATTTAGTTACCTCAAATAATAACATTAGTGCTTTGCTGCAAAGCCATTGTTGGCAGCTTTGAGACGTGTACAGTAAGAATTTTGGCCCATTCCTCTTGGTGAACCATATTCAGTTCCCCAAGACCACAAGGGTCCCTCTGATGATTTCAAAATCCCTTATAATTTTCAAGTCAAGCAATTCAAGGTAAGAAATTGGCTAGACCATGCAAACACCTTCATCTTCTTCTTTAGAAACCAGTTTTCAGTTATTTTGGCTGCATGTTTGGGGTCATTGTCTTGTTGAAATGTCCATCTTCTCCTCCTATTGAGTTTCTTAGCTGAGAAGATTAAGTTCTCCTCTGATATCTCCCAGCATATTACTCTATTCATGTTTCTCTGATGATGCGCAATGATGTCCAGTACCGTTTGCACAGTAGCAGCTCCATATCATAATGCTCCCACCATCATGCTTCACTGTGGGTGTTCTTGGAATCATATGCACAACACTTCTTTCTCCAAACATGGTGAGCTGAATTATTGTCAAAGACTTTTTTGCTTTGGCTGACCACCATTGTTCCAAAAGAATTCTGTTTTGTCGAAAGGCTTGTCTGTAAATTTTAGATGATTCTTGCTGTTTGAGTGACTGCTGTCTTCTCTCTTTCCTTCCTTATCATTAGTCTGAGAGTGCAGTGTGGAATACTTGTTTCACCTGACTGTGTTTATACACATTTTAAGAAAAAAATATGTACTGCACATAACTATATTAGCATCATACTGTGAGTAACTTATGAAGCATGGATAAATGATTAGGCACAGGAATAAGAATCTATCAGCTTTTTCTGATGGATCTGAACTCCGTTCTATTCCATATAGTACTCGTCATGGTCGTACATAAGCACATATATGTTTACAGCACTGTGTTCCGGTCTGGGAAGAGGAGGCGGCCATTCCGTCCTTCTCGGAAAAGGCTGTCTGGGAGTCCTTTTGACAAAGAACTATTAGAAGAAAGGAGATAAGTTAATAAAAATGCTATAAAACAAATATAAAGCTTTCTCATATATTGTAATCAAAGCGTTTTACTGAAAGTGGAATAAAATAGTGGATTATTAAGTACTTAATTAACACATAACTGCATGACAATTTTAAAACTTGCTCTTTTTACTTACTGTCCTGCGTTTTTTCCTGCAATTCTTCAGTACAATGACGACAACCAGATCAATCAGAATGAAAGAGGCTGCTGCTACGGCAAACCAGACCCACAGTGCCACACCCAACACGGGTTTCTCCCAAAAGCTGCTCCCCCTTGCTGGTTCAAAACAGATGGATAGAGCAGTAATGAGTGGTAGAGACACACAAGACACTCTAAACTTCTTAAATGGGTGAATTATTTGGGGGCTCTTTCTTTTTTCTGTGTGACTTATGGCCTGTATATGGGTCCATGTGGGGCTCAAAGGGGGTCTTGTTTTCAGTGCATTTCTAACCCATTTGGAGATCACATGGACATGTTGACTGGGGTGCTAGGTAATGGTTCTCAACGTTTCAAAGAGTCCCTCCAACATGGGGGTTACTAGCCCGAGGGCCAAGAGATGTTTGCTAAAAATGCTGTATTTTTGTGAATGCCACCATTACATCATCATTATAAGCTAAAACACAGTAGACCAGATGTGCAAACGTTGGGACAGTAGGAAACATGCAAGCAATGATTTGTAAATCCCCTTTTACTTGTATTTGTTGGGACAGAAGCAATTTAAGAACATTGTGAAATATCCAACAATTTACGAACAACATTCCTAAATGAGGGATTGCAAGGATTTTAGATATGAACTTGATAGCAGCATTTGAGTAATCAGATAATGTGGAAACTCCAGGTCTACATGAGTCAGGCAGTAATCAGATTTCTGTTTTGCAACCAGCAAATAAACTCACAGAAGAAGACGTGACGTAAACATAATGTAAAACTCAAACTTCATGCTGCGCCTTTTTTCAAAAACATCTCGCCACTTTACCTAAAAATATGAATATATATCATCTAGAAGATGAAGAATATTTAAAGCCTTCATTTTGTCAAGCATGTATTTGGTTTCAGTGTCGCTCCAAAAGTGTTTTGCTGCGTCTCGCGGCGACGCTGCTCGCTTATTTCCGGTACTGCCGCCTGTTTTCGCACACGCTCAGACTGAGAAATCCGAAAGAAATCAGAGTAAGAGTTCACATGCACTGAGAAATCTGATTACTGAGCTAAAATACAGCCTCTTTATCGGATTTCTTAATCAGATTTCTAGACCTTACTCTGATCTAAGAAATCAGAGTATTCTGTTTACATGACCATTTGAATAATCGATAACTGCAGAAATCTGATTATGATCGGATTATTGAGTGCATATAAATGCGCTCAGTAACACAGACTGTGGTGCTGATGTACTGAGCCTTTTGTGCCAGTGTCAGGGGCAAATTGGACACATTCTGTTTACATCTACTGTTTGAAACTGCGGCACGAGCCTAAATGTGCAGCTTATTTGGAAAAATGCTAAATGTGCCCAGGGGTAGATCTGAGTGGGCCTGGGCTTGTCCACATTGACCACAGGCCTACCCAATCACATGACAAAAAAATTATTACACTGATTTTTTAAGACAATGAAACTTGATTTGTTTTCTGTGATTGCTGTCATTGTTTTATGGCCAGTCAAATCATTACACTCTCCGCCAAGCTCCACCTTCTTTTCTCTGCCCTCCATTCACTGCTCAGTAACTATTGCTATCCATCATTGCCTCAAGACTTTATTCATTATCGGTCCATCAGTGTTTGAATTTATGTCCCTAGGGACATTTTAGAGTAAGATTACAACCTGTAGGATAGGTCACCTTCAACCCATCCAAAGCCAAAAACTAATTTAACAAATGCCGTAGTCATTGGTGTTCTGTGAATTTGGTATAAACAATGCTCTTTTACTCCAAAGGTTAAACTGTGCTTTGTAAAAATGTCAAAGCAAATGTCTAATGTTAATTCAGGGCATCAAGTCATCACAGATAAGGCATAAATGGACCGTTAACATTTTTCATGCATGGCAATATGTTTTTGACTTTGATAATTAAGATTTTATGTTTGATGTGTTGTTTTTCCTCATATTTGCACATCTCAGCTGTCTGATTTTGTCTCAGTCATGTTGTCTTCTTTGAGTCTGCCCACTATGCCAGTATGCTTTAGCCTAGGATGGTTAGGGTTAGGCTTTTAAGTTTGCTGTGCTTTTTTCCCTCGTCTTTGCACATCTCAGCTGATTCTGATTTTAACCTAGTTATGCCGTCTTCAATGGGCAAACAAGCCTGTGATGAGCTGATGCATGCTTAACAGTGAAGGGTGTTGATTGTTATTGCTTTGTATCACCATATGATGGAAGTGTTGGAATAGGTAGGGCGATGACTGCTCTGTTATCAGCTATGGACTATAGTCTGATGTAATATAGTCATGTCTGATGTGACATCAGCACATTTGGAAATTGTATCTACCAAGTTGACCTACCCACTTTTCACAGGCCTATCCAAATATTTATTTCTGCCTACATCCCTGCCTCATATATATGCAGTGGAGGAAGGATCGCACAGAAGATTCACAGAGATCTCCATTTGGAGTGGGAATTCAGGTGGAGATATTTTTAAAAATCAATTTCTTTAATGTCAAAACCAAACAGACTAAATATGTAATTAATTTTTCCTATTTTCATATATGCAAAATAGAGAGCTTAATTTCAAATGCATTTTAATACATTTTAATGTAAAATGCAAAGTTTTTGTCAATTTGTCACGGGTGTTATTCCCTTAATGAGGCATTCTTATCGTTATAAATGTATTTATTTTTCATTTAAATTTAACGCGAGTGTAGTTATTGAAGAAATTCATTGTGAATAATCATGTTAACAAAGCTACACATACAGTAATATTTGAATGTACCTCCATATACTGTTATAAATTTATATATAAATATGTATAATATTTATATTTTCTATATGTAGTAAAAGTATACATTTTAATTTTAGATATTTTAATGTACCTCTATATACTATTTTTTAAAAAAAGGATTAAATTGTACAATAAACATGAAAATTGAACTACTGAAATAAAAATCAAGGCAACACTTCTTGAAGATACTCTTAATGCAGGCAACATTGCGTCAAATTGAACACCTACAAATCTGTAACACCAGTCACAGTTGTTTAACATTTTAGGAGCTGTTCAAGCAGAAGTCCAGGTGGTTCCAAGAGTTTAGAAACTTCTAACTGTTCACACAATAAACGGAAAACGTTCAGTGCTTGCTTTGTGTTTTGTTGTGTTGGTGATTATAAACATGTTAAATTTACAAAATTAGAATTACAAATTCCGCCCAGTTTACTACAGTTTGAGCAACTTACTGCGGCTCATTTTTCTCCACCTTGTAAAACCAGGTGTAAAGTTGGGCCCAGATTGGCTGCATGAGTGAGACCATGTTACCAAGTGTGTATTACAGTACACATATAGCACATAAAGTTTGATAGATAACAGCTGTTATAATTACCATCACCTCTCTCTCCCTCCACCTTCAGGTTTAACTGAGTGTTCAGGCTTTGTCCACCATCAAACTCCACCGTACAGTTGTACACACCAGCGTCGGCAAACCGCACCTGAGAGACGAAGAGGTGAAACGCAAATACATCTATCAGTAACACAAATCGCAACAAGGGATAATTCAGCTGGTTTCAACGCAGCTATCAAAAGTAACCGGAACTACTTTTTTACTGTGTTGTTCCCATAACGTCATAAGAGGAGAATAAGAACAGAATTTGTAACCATTTATAAGGCCTGTATTCAGTCAAGCCTAATGAACTGCAAATGATTATAAAGTACCTATAATGCTTATAATTATTAATAAGTATCATAGGTACTTTATAATCATTTGCAGGTCATTATCTGTGCTTTGTGTAAAGTAATACTGTATATCTTTTATAATGTCAGGATCTGCTGGGAGAGCTACCTGCCCTGGAAGATTAATAAGGTGCCACTGTTTTTCCAGTCATATTTGGATATTGTAGGACAAACAAATGCTCCAAAACAGTTGTTGTTACTGCACAAAACAATTGTAATCATGTTTTTATTAGAATATTGAGAACTGAGAATATTGAAACTGCAGTATTGTGTTTGTAGTTAGTTTCCACCTTAGTTTCTAACATTTATTTAAAACAAAACATAGCCTAAATATCAATCACTTGAAGTTTTAAATGTATTAATATGTATTAATATATATTGTAGGTGCTTTATAATTATGCACGGGTCATTATCCTTTTAAAAGGCATTAAAATGAACGGCAACCCCAAAGAATTCATCATAGTTCATTCTGAGAGCCTTAGGAAGTATTATAAATGTAGAAACTTGATACAAAGCATTGTTAGCAAGTTATAAAGAGTTATAAGGTATTTAAAATGGCTGATGAATAGGGGCTTCTTAGGAAGTGGTAACGTCAGTGGAGTAGCGGCCAAGTATGCAGGGTATGCACTTTCCTACCATGTTCTGGGTGCCTATGCATCTTGTTATCAGTGCATAATTGATCCATCACCGGCCAGCAGAACAACGGAGGCGTGCTCAGCACTTTTCAAGCTTTAGGGGCGATGCACCCCCAACACTTTCTGAATGAATTCAGGCTCTACTCGCCCTAACCTGAGGGTCGGCCACACGCAGCTCCAGAGCTGCATGTGGCTCTTTTACTGCCCTGTTGCAGGTGCACAGCAGAAATAGACTTTAGGTAAAAATAAAATAATCCTCCTTTACAGTAAAATAAAGCTCTGCTGATTGTTCAACACAGTTTAACAAAAAATGGTCTTAAACTCTGGAGTTAATGTAGAACTGCTACTTCACCCTTTAACCCTGAGGATTGGTGCGCAGACTGCTGGTCACACAGCGACACAGACAACAGTCAAGAAAGATTTAAGACGAACATCGATCATTTGGAGACGAATGGACTTATTTGCATTTATAATCACTCCAGCTGGTTTCCTGATACATTTAATCTGCAACGAGAAACTGTCAAACATAAAAAGTAACGAAGCTGAAGTCGACTGAGAAGCGACTTCAGCTTCGTAAAAAGATGAACGTTGAGAGACATTTTACAAAAACTGTTCTACTTTTGAGGGAAAGTTTCCTGCTGGAGATGCGAGAAAAGCAGCTATAGCTGAGCTAAAGCTTAAAGCTGAGCAAAGTAAGTCTGGATTTTCATTTATATTATATTTTTAGTCTATCCTAGGACATCAGCACATACTGAGACAGATTTACAGCCAAGATTGTGAAAAGTTACTTCAATAAATTGGACATGAAATGTTGTGGCTCCCAAGGTGGTAAAACTTTTGTTGAAACTTGACAAAATGGCTCTTTTTAACATTTAGGTTGCCGACCCCTGCCCTAACTGAACGAACTACCAACAGCTGGCCTACGGCTTCTTTCAGATCAAAGAAAGTCAAAATGTGTTTGTGGTAATCAGTCATGAGCTACAGATGCTACAGATACAGATCAGGTTGAAGTATTTCTTTAAATAAGCGAAAAACAGCCAAGAATTCTCACGTTTTTCAGCGTCACAGTGAAGTTGGTGGTCAGATGTTCCTGACTGAACGCAACTTGGGCCAGAATATTAGCATCTTTCCAGTACAGACCACTGACATTTCTGCTTAAGGTTAGGAAGTGGAGGTCAGTGGGGGCCTTTTTTGCCCACCCTCCTCCCACTATATGTAGACCGCTTGGTTTGGAGAGGAAACATGGTAGCTGTGCAGCGCCCCCTAGAGGAGCTGTAACTTCCACAGGGGATTGTAGAGGACCTGAGGAGCAGAAGAGAGCGATTACAGTCATCCAGTTCAAAGTAAATCTGTTTTTATTGTCAGTTATAAAGAGGCATAATAAAGCGACGATGAAGATTTCTCAACATCAAGATAAAAAGCAAGACAAATAACATGCATTACAGACACAACTCAAACATATCGTCTAAATATCCAAAATAATACCACAATACAAAACATGTACATGCGTAATATGAAAGATCAAATAAATACATTTCGGGTGACAAACCTACAACATTGATGACCTGTTCTATGTTCTCCACCTTGTTCCACGTGTAGTCTTTGATCTGACAGATCCACTTGCCAGCATCAGCCGAGGTCACAGAGTTCAGGGTTACGGTGTTGCCGGAGCTTCCATAATGTTCAGCGCTGAGAGGCTTTATCCACTGAGCCTGCGCTGTTGAGTCTCCTTTAATGTCACACCTCAGGGTCACATTAGTGGAGATCAGCACTGTGTCTGAAGGACTCACAGAGACTGAGAGAAAGAAGAGAACAAATAATGACAGAGTTAATGAGGATAGTTCAGTCAACAAAGCCACTGAACTTCCTCTCTGCTGGATTAAGTAAAAAATCAAGCCACTGATTGGGTGTCCAGGAACTTTAGGGCTGAGGTGGCACCTTAATAGGGATCCCTGTAGATCCATGTAGATGAGAATGAAATATAAGAGCAATATTGTTCTTGTACTGCATTTTATGTTAACATTTAGTATTAAGGCTGAACGATAAATCAAATTTTATTTTCAGTTACGATTTTGCCTTCCAGCGATTATGAATACAAATGAATCGAGACGATGCTCTCGCTTTGCACCCGTTTCCTTTCACCCCTCCCTAAAAACCCAAACTCATCTCATTTATTTTGGTCCAAATTAATATTTTTAAATATGCTTGGTAGTTCTCAGTAGGTTGAAGACAGCAGAGTTGATCTTATTTACTTTGCTTTTATTTTCAGTCATTTATCCATTCATTCATTATCTAAGCTGCTTATCCTCCTGTGTTGTGGGGGGAGCTGGAGCCTGTCCCAGCGCTCATTGGGTGGAAGGCAGGAAACACCATGGACAGGCTGCCAGTCCATTACAGTATTTTTATATATATAGTATATTTATTTAAAAGTATACACATTTATATACAACCGCTTAATCCAGATAGTGTCGCGGTAGCGGTTGGGAAAGCAGAGTAGGGAATGCTCCTTCCTGGATAGGGGCTTTGCCCTGGCGGAAGGGTTTGTGTGGTCTAGGGGTCTTTAGAGCTCAGTCGTCTGGAGCTCCTGGTAGGGTCTCCCAAGGGGAACAGGTCTGGAGTGATTCATAATCCTCCATGACTAAGGGACACAAGAGATTGTGCACCCTGCCCGGGAGAGGGTTACCGGGACATGCCCCTGGAGCCAGGCTTGGGGGGTAGCGTTCCTCGGTGAGTGCCTGGTGGCTGGGCAGCCCTTGTAACCCGGCCGGGCTCCGCCCGAAAAAGGCAACGTGGGGGGCACCGGTGTAGTGGGGTATAGGCGGTGGGAGATGCCGGGGAGGTCCTCGGCAGCATGGACCCCTGCGGCAGAAACTGGCACTACGTATTTATATATTAGATATAATTTATTTGTTATTTATCTTTGTTTTACTTTTTTGTCATTTTTCATTTGAATTATATTTAAAGTTCAAGGAAAGTTCAATAAAAGTCAATGAGTAATCGTGTTAAATAACTGTGATCTCCATATTGACCAAAATAATAGTGACTATGATTTCTGCCACCTATATAGTCTCCTCTGAGTCTCAATACGTCCACTGTTAGCTAAGCTAGCTAGAAAACAGTGATTAGCCTGTTACTGTTCTCCATTTCACTGTAAAACTCACTGCTTACATTGTAGGTTTAATCCACTACACTGAAACCAGTGAGTGAGACAGTAACAAAGGAAGACTCTGTTAGCTGCTCAGATATACTGTGTTGTTCATGACTAACTCAGCTGTTAATTCCTTCCATCCTGTCACCTTTGGTTTTCCTCTCACCTGACACAACATGCAGTTTGTGCTCCTTTGTGATTCGGTACCCTCTTGCATCAAATCCACTGCAGCTGAAGTCTCCAGAGTCACCGACCTCCACTGAAGGAATCTTCAGACCGTAGCCATTTGGCCTTGCCCTCTTAGTAAGAGGCGCGTTCCCTTTAAACAGACACCATTCAGATCTCACAGCTACAGGCCACGTTAACACGAGAAGATGTTCCATAAAACTAGAATCCTAAAGGATGAAGTAACGTAAAAAAGAAGATGAAAGATAAAAACGATGTACCTTTGGATGTACTTCCAGATTTGATATTAATTTTTATGACGAGGACACCGCCCTGTTTCCATTCCACATCCCTTGTTGTCTTTGGGGCTATAGCAGCACAGTCCATCGTCACCTCCTGTCCACGTTTCTTGTAATAAACATCAGATCCTCCTGTGGCTGCACACAGAGCTGAAACAGAGAGAAAGCTGTGTAGAACTGCAGTGGCTATACAGACTCAGGAACAGTGAGGATCAGGACTGGATCATTCCTCACTCACCCAAAGTGATCCAGAGGAGGGTTTCTGATGAGGACATTTCTGCCCATCCAACTTCCGTCCAGCTCCTGAAATCAGAGAAACTGAGAACGACAGAATAATGAAGCACTACAGTTCCTCCAACGTTCCTCTAGTGCTCCTCCAACGTTCCTCTAATGTTCTTCTCATCTTCCTCTAAAGTCTGTAGACTGTTGTTGCGCTCACCTGCAAGTAAGTCGTCTCTGTTTGTTTTAGGTGTGGGTTATTTTTGTTTCTGTACTGTTACTAAGATTAATATGAATTGTCCCTGATATAATACTGGTCATTTAGACCCACAATAACAGACGTAGCCTGAACGTGTATGTGATCAGTTATTGGTATAACTTATCTAGTTGGTATGTGTTATGATAAGGGGAGTGGAAGCCTCACTGCATGTGTTTTTAAATCTTCATCTACAGAGCAGAACCTCTCGGTGGCTTTTGACCACAAAAGCTACTTCCGTTCATTCATCTTTCGATTTCTCTTCTTCGCTCTTCTCTAAATGTGCATAAAGCCTGATTGTGATGTGCTCCAGTACAGCTAGGATGATTTTCTGATCACACAGTCCTTCATGTCCATCTCGGCACTGACAGTAATATAAAATGAAGCTTAAGTTAAAGTCAGTATTAAATTCAGATTCAAACACATTATTGAACATTTTTCCAGCTGAACAGGGATGTTTCCTCAATAAGTAAATAAGAAAGTCTTTTTTGTTGTTGTTGTTGTTGTTGTTTTTTTTTTAACTGTTACAGAGTTTTGGTAAGCATTGCATCGTATTCATTAAAAATATTTCAGCTTTTTAAAATTAATTAAACTATTTATTTATTTATTTATTTTACAATTGGAAGTCTATTCTTCATCTTATCTTTATGTATTTTAGGCAGTGGGTAGAGTAATAATAATAATAATAATAATAATAATAATAATTGCATTTTATTTATAAGTCCCTTTCAAGATACCCGAGGACACAGTACACAGAAGATTAAGATAAAAAAATTTACAGATTTAAAAATCAGTAACAATAATAGCATATTGAGAACAGCAATAATAATAAATAATAATATGCATTATAATAAATATAAATAAATAATAATACGTAGTATAATAAATAATGAAAAAAAGGAGATACAGGAATAAATAATTGGATGGAGCTAAAATGAATTTACAGTATGAGTAAGAGACAAAGAGTCACCTAAATCAATACTCAAGTAAAAGCATTGATACTTAAAATAATGATGCAAGTAAAGGTACCTTCCCAAAAAACAACACGAGTACAAACATATCAGCTCAAAACTGCTTAAGTACTGAGTAGCTTATAGAACTGCAGTGGAACTTCTCAGTAATAAAGGTGCTACATAAACTACATAAACTGAAATTATTATTATTATTATTATTATTATTATAGTACGTCCAGCATCTGTCAGCATAAAAACTAACTGAAGTCTGCACGGTTCAGTTCTTCTCTTTTAGAGATTTATTTTTTGGCATAAAATAAAATAATAAAGCTGTAAAGTCAGTGACCAATCACACATCAGTGGATATGCTGTTACCAACAAAACAATGAAATTAAACATAAAAAATGACTAACTAAACATGAATGGCTGAATGTGAGTAAATGCAGATTCCTTGACTCACTGATATACTTAGTGAGAGTAGAAGTAAAACCTCGAGAGAGTAGAAGTGAAAGTATTATGATTTCAAAAAAAGGGAGGACAAATCCATCAGTATTATTAAGTGCATTGAGTAAATGTTAGTTACTACCAACATCTGACTTCATATATTTAACTTTTGGAAGGATTTCTAAGCTGATTCTGCTCAGCTTGAGATTAAAGGCAGAAACAGCAAATAAATAAACAAGGTAACTTTACAGGAGAATGAAACACTTTCAATGCGAGTTAATGTGACAAGCTTTTATTCTAGATCGGCTTTGACCCAGCGTTAATGACAGCTGGCATTTTCACATTATGTAAACGACCATGTCTATTAATAGACCAAATGTCTATTAGCAATAAGGCCTTTGGGATTATATTAAAATAAAGATAAATAAAATAAAAAATAAAAGAGTCTGTTTTAGTACTTACAGGAGAGCAGAGCTGGAAAGAGTCTCCTGTCAGTGAAGCATCGAACTCAGCTGTGCAGAGAGAGAGAGAGAGAGAGAGAGAGACAGAGAGAGAGAGAGAGAGAGAGAGAGAGAGAGAGAGAGAGAGAGACAAAGAGAGAGAGAGAGAGAGAGAGAGAGGGAGAGAGAGAGAGAGAGAGAGACAGAGAGAGAGAGAGAGAGACAAAGACAGAGAGACAAAGAGACAGAGAGAGAGAGAGAGAGAGAAGTGTAGGAGGATGAAGACCTTTTCGTTGCAAGAACGAAAGCGCGTGAGCGTTTATTGTTGTTGCATTTCCCCATTTAACGTCATGGAACTCTTACTTAGCCCACAACAGAAAATCTTGGTTGAAGTTTGGTTGAATAAATCCGTTTTTTATCTTAATAATATTGTGTCTCTATTAGTTCCCTTCAAGTGAGTTTCATTCGTCCAGTCCAACAGGCATTAAATAGAGGTTATGAAATTATCAGGCGATATTTCTGAGGGGATCAGACACAAGATAATCCACATGAACAAGGAGAACAACTTCCACAACTGGAGTTCAAAAAGAGTGAAAAAGAGACTCCTAACAACCACCTGGAAGACCTGGTAGACACCAAAACTGCCCTTCAGATAAACTTAAAGCTCTCATCTTTGAGAGAGAGGAGAAAATCAAGCTGCTTCAGATCTGAAACTGTGAGAAGACGCCTCATTTATGATATCATAATTAGTTGTCTTCTGTGTAATTTTCTATTAAATATATGTTTTCTTTTTTTTCCTGATGCTGTAAATGAATAACCTGTACTTAATGGCCATCGTTGCATTCCCATTGGCTACTAAATGAGATGTCCTCACATGTTTATACCACTTTGTTGCACGCGGGTGTGTTTTGATGTACCTCTGTTTTCTGCCTCTACATGTCGCACAAAACTGTCTGTGGTTGGTTTTTCTCAGTGTCAGTCAGACGGCCCACTTCTGTCAAAGTGGGCAGTTACTGCACACACTGAGCGATGAAACACTCCAGACTCTCTGCGTGGCTTGGGATGCTGGTCCTGCACTCATTCCCCACAATAAACATCGCAATATGGCAATAATTATTCAATGATTACATAAATAATATACCTGATGCTACACTTTATCTGCCTAAACCCTCATAGAACTACAACTATAGCGAGCTAGCAACTGATAGCGTCCTCAGATAAATAAAAGGTGTTCAGTCTTCCTGATATTGTAGATAAATAAGTAAACAAATACAGTCTTGCAGTTATACATGCATATTAAAAGGTGGCCTCTTGGCAGCTGCTCCTAAAAGACTCTCCACATCGCTGTTACAGAATGTAATATAAAAGGAAATGTACAATGTGTAAAAGTCAGAAAAGCTTTTTTTATTGAATTATTTCAAATACTGCATATTTGCAAGCAGCACAACAACGTTAACGACAAGCAAAGACACCCAAAATTAACTCAGTATGTATTTTACAGAGGTCAGTGGCAGCAAACAGATTAAATCCTAACTAGTTTACACAAGAAACAAGTTCTAATACTTGTTTTATATATATTTTTTTTTTCAGATATTTTGAAAACTGGTATTTTGATCCAAAGAGTCATAAATTATACTAGCTTTGTACATTTATCTACAATTTTGGGAAACCCTGCTGCATAAAACTGACATAAGCTTGACCATTAATTAACATAAATGACCATAAATACAGAGTCTGATGTCTGTTTGCTCCAAAATCATTGGTGGTCACAGGGATTACTGCATAAACACTCTAAAAAATGCCATTAAAAAGGCTATTCTGTCATTAAAGACCCTTCACATGTCTATCCACTCTGCCTGTGAGTTGTTGCCCCTAGACCCCCCTTATCGCTGCCCCAGACGTCGGTCTGTCCGACAGAGAGTGTCATTTGTAGCTGAGACCATAAGGTTGATTAATGATCATTTACAGTGAGATGTGTTTACTATGTATGTTATTATTTCTCTTATTTATGAAGATGTCTATCTTCAGTTGTCTGTATATTTCTTTGTGTTATAAGTTTGTGTCAGTTGTTTGTATGGTCAGTTCTGAACTGCCCCTCTAGGACAGATAAAGTTGATTCAATTCAAAATTCAATTCAATTCAATTGTAATGACAGATGATGGCACCATGACAGTGTTATATTACTGAACAATATCAAAACCTGACAGCATATGATATCTACCATGACGCGTTTATGGCTTGTTATGTCAATATTATGCAACAGGGTCCAACTACAGTGTTACCCAAATTTGTATGTGAGAATATGCTAATAACTTATTTCCTATGCTTCATGCTAAAAATGTGTACATAATCCAAAAATCCACTGCCGGACCGAAAAGTGCCTGTAGTTGCAGAAACAGTAAGTGCGTTTACATGCGCTCAATAATCCGATAACTGCAGGAAATCAGATTTTGTCAGTAATCTGATCAACGCACTTACATGCACTTGAGTAATCAGATTTGATGTGAAACTCTGGGTCTACATGAGTCAGACAGTATTTAGATTTCTGCTTTGCAACCAGCCAATAAACTCACAGAAGAAGTCGAGACGTAAACGTAACGTAAAACTCAAACTTTCTGTGGCTTTTTTTAAAAAACATAGCGCCACTTTACCTGAAAATATGAACACGCACCATCTATTTTCAGGCTGAGAAATCCTCAAGAAATCGGAGCACCAGCACTGAGAAATCTGATTACTGAGCTAAAACCCAGCCTCTTTGTCAGATTTCTTCATCGGATTTCTAGACCTTACTCTTCATCGGAGTGTGCTGTTCACATGTTTACATTACATGATTTAAATAATAATAACTGATAACTGCAGAAGTCCAATTATAATCGGATTACTGAGTGAGCGAGTAAACGCGCTCACTATACACTGAATTTTACGAGGAAATGAATTCACAGCTGCAGATGACTGTTACCATCACACTGTTGCTCATGTATGAAGGAGAAATGTGTGTGTAACCAAATGAACAAGAAGTTAGAAATGCTAATCAGCATTTGCTCGATGATCCTTTCCATATTAATACTCCAGCGCATGATATTATCTCATTATCTGTTTACAGCTTTGTACTGATTTTTGGGAACCGGAGGAAGTGGCCTCTCTTTCATTCCGGGACGAGGCCGTCTTTCAGTCGTTTTCTTTGGAAACTATAGGAAGAAAATAATGCAGTTACCAAAAAGTGTGCACAGCCAGCTCCACAATTATTTGCACCCTTGGTAAAGATGGATAGACAAGATCGTGAAAAATGTCTGGTTAACCTCACACTGACGAAACAATCCACCCTTTACTGGAAGTAAACTGAGTCTAAGACATTGCTGCCGAACAAAATGTAAATTCAGCATGTTTCCATTTATATTTAACTTCTTTAAGTCCATCATCAAGCTGTCATCCATGACTTCCTGTGTCCGGGCCAAATACACTTTCTTCATCAACTCGGGGACAATTAGAGAATACAAAAATGAGATAAGCTTATTCACATTCATAAAACTGGCCAAAAATATAGCTAGAAGCCTGAAAATGTCCACTGTTAAAGCGATAATTAAGAAGTTTAAAACAACCAGAGCTGTAGTGAACCTGCCTGAAAGAGGACGCATGTTTATTTTGCCCCTGCGCACAGTGAGGAGGACGGTTTGGGAGGCAAGGATCACAGCTGGAGGCTAGAAGATGGTGGCATTTGGTGGACACCTTCTTTATAGAAGCATAAAAGTACTAGATACCACCTCCTTGCCAACAAACTACTCAATTTCAAAGCCTTTTCTTTCATCATACTACTAGGACTTGTAAACACAAGTACTACTTCAACATTCATTGGAAGTGGGGCAGGGGAGACAAATATATAAAAAGAAGGATGGTTATACATCCTCATAGCTAATTTTGGCTGAGGATCTGTGATGTTTTGGAGCTCTTTGCCCTCCAAAGGCCCTGAAATCATTGTTATACATGGCATCAAGGACACCGTGAAGTACCAATAGATGTTTAATGAAAATCTGGCTGCCAGCAGGACAGTCCGATGTCCAGGTCTATACTAAAATGGTTCACTGGCCACAGAATCAAACTTCTGACATGGCCAGCTGAGTCCACTGATTAACTGTGGTGAGGAAAGGACCCTGGAGGACCCGGAGAGATTTGCCCCCAGTCCCATTTCACCCCTTGCCCCTACCACTTAGCCCTTGTTTCTTTTTTGGATAGAGGGTTAGAGTGAAGTGTTTGGGCTACATGGCCTTCCAAACTGAGGTTTTTCAGAGGCTCCAAACAGAGAGTTACGTGAAATTTCAACAAAACTAGTATACTTGTTATTTGGATATTCTGGGTTTGTCACCCAGAATAGCATTCGTTTATTTGAGATCTCAACAATGTTGAGGTTTGTTCCATTTCATAGGGAATATTTCAACCACCACCCTTTGTAACTCAGTTCCAAGGGGCAAAGTGACACTCAAAAACAAGGAAAGGGGTAAAAAAGGGATGGGATTGGGCCTAATTTGTACCCCAACTCCTTGTTTTTGAGTGTCACTTTGCCCCTTGGAACTGAGTTACAAAGGTAGTGGTTGAAATCTTCCCTATGAAAAGAGCATCACTTCATTAACATCTACTAGCGCTGCTCTGTAGGCGACCCTGCCAGTCTGCAGTGACAGCAGAGGAGGGGAAAGTTCAGCTCCTCACTGCTGGGCAGGAAATTTATCTAGCGAGCTACCGAGACATCAGCATACTACTATCATTTTCTATGCCTGTTAAGAAGAGAAGGACCATAATACACTGAAACGATATTGAGCTAAGATAATATAATGGTTCTCATCATTTTTTTAAATCTAGAAAAAATTCTCACATGGGTTCCTATGGTCGCTTGTGCAGCCAACTTGCTGGGTTTTCTTTTTTTTCTCCTAACACTCTGTGTCTCTAAAAAAACCTCCGTTTGGAGGGCCGTGTGGCCCTAACACTTCACCCTACCACTCTATCTCAACAACAGTCAGGACATCCTACCCCTAGACATGAACTCGCAAAACAGAGGGCTAAGGGCTCAGTGGTAGGGGTGAGAGGTGAAGTGGGATTGGGCCTTGGTACTGAGGAGTGCTCTCAGATTCCTTGCTTGCTTTATATCACGCATTACAGGAAAAGACTTATTGCTGTTATGTTGGCAAACTGTGGTTTAACAAATTACTAAATGCAGGGGTGGTAATAATTGCCACACACACTTTTGTTAAAAACAATTGAGAATTTTTGTTTTCTAGACTAATTTTACCCATCTTTACCAAGAGCATCAAAAATTATGGACTGTAACTACTTCAATATTGATTAAACAACATGTTGATAAAACCTGTTGACAATTCTACTGAAACAGAAATGTAAAACTTTGCTCTTCAATCAAATGTTTATGGACAAACTGCATGACAACACTAAAACTCTCACTAACGTTTTAGTTAGAGCACACAATGGGAATTGTTTTGCTCAATTGGCCGATTTATTATTCTGTTTTTGGCGTTTCTGTGTTACAGTTTTAGGAGGAAAAAACAAGCTGAGACAGAAGAAACGCTGTTTTGAATTGCTGCTGTACCAAAATGTCATAGCATAATTATGCATGACTCGTTGTGCTAAACAGCCAGTTAGCACTTAGTTTCAGTGTAGCACTTTATTTGATTCATGATATTTAAATAAGCAGCTGACAAATTTGAAATGCCAGTTTGGCCAATTAAAAAAGCGAATCAAATTTTATTTAATCTTGTGACTCTGGCTAATAGAAAGCACTGGAAATATACTCCCATGTCTCATGTCTTCATTTAGCCCACACAGTGTGAGTTCTGGGCATTTAATAATAATTAGGCTGCAAAAAAAACAGAATCGGCCATAAAAATAAATGATCGATCAATACACCTCGAATTTTAGTGAGTGTTTTAATGTTATTATCCAATTATATACAAATTAGATCACATTCCTGGTTGCAAACACATAATCAATATTAATCATTGAGCGTACCAGAATCTAATATACAGTGACCCCAAAAAGCTCAGCCTCTCCTACCACTGGGCTACCTGCCACCCTGAAAGTGAAACTGAGTGCTGAATAGTAAAATAAACAAGGACATGAAAGATGGAGGATGCTGAGGCTGGAATTATCCCCAAACCTGTTTATCCCGATACAAGGTGCTCAGGCTCTTTGTTTCCCAACACAATGAACTTAATAGATTTTGAAGTACAGCACGAATGTCCAAATACTATTTGAGGCCACTGTATATCAGTACAGCACTGGTTCGTATATATTTTGATAACAGAAAAGGAAAAAGTACCTCATCCTGCATCGGCACAGACTCCCGAATGTAAGCGCTCTCTGTCTTAATTTTACTTTTCTCTGCTTTCCTCTGAAAAAGAAAACAATCTTCATGAGTGTCTTGCTTTCTTTTCTTTCTTTGAGTATCACTCTCTCTCTCTCTCTCTCTCTCTCTCTCTCTTCTCTTACCTTTCTCTGTGTCCTGCACTGGACTAAAGCAATGACCACTACCAGCACAATCAGAAGGAGGGAACCTGCTGCTATGGCGATCCAGATCCACAACGCCAAACCAAACAGCACAGGCTTCAGCAAGAACTGTTTACTGTCTGGGGGTCGTGCATCTAACAACACACAAACACACCGAGTAGAGCTCAACATCACACAGCCTGGATTTATATGATGGATCTGGGTCTTAAATTTGTAACAAGTTGTTATGACTTCTAAGCTGTGGGTCACTGATGATAAGTGAGTCCATCTCAAGATGAAAAAAAATAATAACTTCGAACCCAAACTACTTATATATTAAATATGATTGTTTAAATATGAAACATAAATAGAAGACCTCTGTTTTTACCCAAGCAGTATTTTAGGAGGGGTACTTCTGTAAAATTTGTCCACCACTGTTCAGTATAAGCCAGTTATAATTATGAAATAAATTAAACGATCTTAACGATTAATTGATTCATAAGTGCTATTTGGTTGTCATTTAATGCTTATATTTGAGGTTTGCTTTAAAATGAAACGCTCTTATAAATTTATATTCTTCTTCTTCCTTTCCTGTCGGATTTTATCAAAAGCGTACCAACTCCGGAGTGTTCGGTCTGATCAGAAACGGTGTGTTTGTATATGGCGTTCTGACTGGACGTAAGGTTTTCGTACAATCATCAAATGACCATTTTTTTCCCTTAGGAATGAACAAGGGGGAAAGTTTGTGCACCCAGCTTATATCACGATGATACAAGTCCATTAGCAACACCCTGTTAACCATGTGGGATATCAAAGCAACCACCTAGGATACCATAGCAACCACCTTGAAGCAACCACCCATCAACAACCTAGCACCCACCTGGAATACCATAGCAACAACCTAGCAACAACCTAGCAATCACCTGAAATACTATAGCTACAACCAATCATTAAAAACATTGAACAGTCAAAAGTTACACAAACTAATTTTTTCTAATTAAAAAAAGCAAAAAAATATATGATGAATGATAAATATCAGTAATGAGAAACAGATATGTGTGCGTTGTGGTAATGAGATGGGGGTAAAAAATGCCAAAACATCAAAATTAAAAAATGAACTCCAACTGTTACCCTGTTATGCTTACCTGGAGCAACACTGACACCCTCAACCTTCAGCTCTAATGTAGTATTCCAGTTCTTTCCATCCTCAAACAAAAGACTGCAGACGTACAAACCAGCATCACCATGCTCCACCTGAGAGAGAGAGAGAGAGAGAGAGAGAGAGAGAGAGGGATTGATAGAGAGAGTGAGAGAGAGAAAGAGTGATAGAGAGAGAGAGTGATAGAGAAAGAGAAGGATTGATAGAAAGAGAGTGAGAGAGAGAGTGTGTGAGAGTGAGAGAGAGAGAGAAAGAGAGAGAGAGTGATAGAGTGAGAGAGAAAGAAGAGAGAGTGAGAGAGTGTGAGAGAGAGAGAAAGAGAGTGAGAGAGAGAGAAAGAGAGAGAGATTAATAGAGAGAGTGAGAAAGAGAAAGAGTGATAAAGAGAGTGATAGAGAGAGAGAGGGATTGATAGAAAGAGTGAGAGAGTGTGTGAGAGTGAGAGAGAGTGAGAAAGAGAGGGAGAGAAAGAGAGAGAAAGAGAGAGTGTGAGAGAGTGATAGAGAGAGAGGGATTGAAAGAGAGAGCGAGAGAGAGAAAGAGTGATAAAGAGAGAGTGATAGAGAGAGAGGGATTGATAGAAAGATAGTGAGAGAGAGTGTGAGAGTGAGAGAGAGAGTGAGAAAGAGAGAGAGAGAGAAAGAAAGAGAGAGAGAGAAAGAGAGAGTGTGAGAGAGAGTGATAGAGAGAGAGAGAGAGAGAAGGAATGGCAGTCTTTCTATAACAGGTCTGAAAGCAGTGCACATACAGACATAAAATAAGAAAAAAGCTATTTTTCTCACATTTTTCACTCTGATGTTAAAGTTGGTGCTGGGCTGTTGGTCACTGGATGTAACTTTAGATTTGGGCACATCTGTATCATTCCACTGCAGGCCCTTCGCCCCAGACCTCATTAAGATGGGTAACCGGAAGTCAGTGGGGGGATCACGTACCCACTGACCTCCGACTATCCGTGAACTGCTGGAATCATAGTGGTTACATGGCAGTTCTGCAGTTCCCCCTAATGGAGCTGTAATCTCTGTACCACCTGAAGGAGGAGAGCAGTGTTATTAATGATCTACTTCAACACACAAAAAAAGATTTTGAATCAGAGGAAAACGCTGCTAGACAAAGCCAGCATAGACCACCATGACTGGTCAGCAGCAAAACCAGCATATCGCTGTTGTTGGAACAAAACCATCTCCAAAATGGTAACTTTACAGGAGAAGGAAAAAACATACTCTACTTTTAATGTAAATCAATGGAACCAGACTTTTTTCAGAGTCATTTTGGGTCATTTCTTCTTTTCCATTCATCATGAAATTAACAAACAACGTAAAGGACAACAGACTTTTTCAAATTATGCCAAAAACTGAAAAATGGAGATAGGAGGTTTTGCTCCGACAATATGTTGTGTTTTGGATGCTGTATGCTGGTCAACCAGCATGACCATACTGAGTGACCAGCTAAACCAGCACCAGAACAGCTTTAACAAGCCTGGAATTCATGCTGGTCTAAGCTGTTTTTAAGCAGAATCAAATGTGTGGTACTAGATCTTATCTCCTACAACTTCTTTATGCAAAAGAACGTCAGCAGCTCATCACATCATGCCACAAGCTGCAGGTTTGCATCAGCGTGAGAAATTTCAGCCACCATTTGGAGGCCTCGCTTCCGTTCTCGGCTGTGTTTCCTGTTACAACAGGTACTGCAAAGGTTATCTCTGTGACTGTGATGGATGAATCAAACATGAGAAAAACAGCGCTGAAGGCAATGTACGGTGTATGTGCACGAAAGTCCTGGACGGTTATTCGGGATGTGAGCGGGTAATCGGGTACTTGGTTTAACAGTATTCCAACAAAATCACAGTTCATCACAGGAAGATGCAAAAAACAGGCTAACAATCCAGTGAAAACGGTGATTTAATGTTTTAACAGAACTGTAAAACTGCTCATTTGTGAGGAAGAACTGAAATTATACTTATATTACAGTTTGCTACTACAAATCATGAGTGACTTTATGTGTTTGAATTGCGTTTGAAGTGAAACATCTACTTTACACAATTGTCCACTCACTCCAGATTTACTGCATCAGACAAGACATGTCTGGACTCTAAGTTTTGCCTATTTAGTTTAGCACTGGGAGGTTCGAGGCTAACGCTGCTGACAAACACAAGAAATCAACAGTCACCCATAAATTCATTCGCAAAAACATCTCTCAAACCACATACCGGTCTTCATTAGAGTTGCGAAGACTTGCTAATGTGGTTTAGAACAGAGTATTACTTACTGTGAACTATAAAAATGTTTGTTTGATTTGTTCATTTTTACAGTTCACAGTAAGTCTTACTGTGGCTTACTAAGTCTATGCGACCCTAATAAAGACCTGGACCTATTAACTTTTAGTGTTTGTTAGCAACATTAGCTTCGTGGCTAAACTAAAGAAGGACAATTTGGATAGTAAACATGGCTTGGCTCATCAATGAGTGAAAAACTGTGGAAAATAGAATTTTTTTTTGCCAAACTCTTCCTTTAAGAACATGTCTGAGCAGGCAGAGATAGCTTTTTCGCTAAGTAGGCTAACTAGCTGATAGTTAGCTAGGTCTAGACACAGTGAAAATATATGTCTCTGGCTAACATGTTGGCACTGTCCACTGAGGAGAAAAACCTCATCAGCATCCACTACTGTACCAGTTAGCTTTAGTGTTAGTGCTTTAGCTTATCTGAAGAGGCAGCCTCTGTTACAACATGAAAACCTACCTATTTCATATTCAAATGTGCAGCTAACTGATTTTAGCCTCTTAACACCAGTGCTATCACCTAAAAAGTGTCAGTTTTGCCAGAAAATTATCTTTCCCAGCAGATATCTGTTTATTAACCCTTATGGATATTTACAGATAGTTAGTATAGAAGTTAGTCCGAATGTATACAAAAAGCCTAACATTTTGATGGGCCCAACATGGCTCTACTGACAAGATTCAAGGTATTGTATGGATGAAGTTTGAGTAGACTGCAGCTAATTCTTTGAGGACAGGATATTGGTAAAAGTAGTGATGTTGCTTGGAGGAGGCGGAATGTTTAGAACAGGGATGCTCACTTCTGGCCCTGGAGATCTACCATCCTAGATTTTAGCTCCAACCCTAATATAACACACCTGTTCTGTGTAATGAAAGCCTTGAGGGGCACCTCAATATTAGACTCAGGTGGGGGCTCCCAAGTGGCGCAACCGTCTAAGTGTTGGCCCTATGATGCTACAGCTATCCGTGACCAGGAGTCCAAGTCCTCGCTCTCTGGGTGGGTAGGATGGCCCCCTGTTTCCCCCAATCAGTGATGCCACTTCACAGGTCTCGGAGGAAGCCTGTGCTAGCCTTCACCCTCCTAGCACTGGTAGTATCGTGTGATTGGGCGAGTCCTAACTAGCAGATGGAATTAGAGATGACTAAACTGGGGAGAAAACTGGGGAAAAATTGGAAAAAAAAAGTAAAAAAAAGAAATTAATAAATTAAATATTAGATTCAGGAATGCTGGATCTGAACTCTCCAGGGTGATAGATCTCCAAGACCAGGATTGGGCACCCTGGTTTAGAAGGTACCATCTGTTTCTTACCATTCTTACCAGGTGCAACAGTGACCTTTTCAATGACCTTTCCTTCCTTAACCTTCAGATTCAACCCAGTACTCAGGCTCTTTCCATCTTGAAACGTCAGATTGCAGATATACTCACCAGCGTCAGAAAGCTGCACCTGAAAGAGATTCAGAGGTAAGAATAATCTGCAAACCAAATAAAAAGAATAATCTGCAAGCCCAACTGACAAATTGCTGTTGGTTCTCACATTTCTCAGCGTCACAGTGAAGTTGGTGGTGAGTTGTTCGTCACTGAATGCGACCCTCAACTTATTCCCATTCCAGCGTAGGCCACTGGCGTCTCTAGCTAAGGCTAGAAACTGGAGATCATGGGGGGAGTTATGTGTCCACCCCCCTCCCACTATATGCAGACCGCTCGGATTAGAGAGAAAACATGGTAGCTTTGCATCGCCTCCTAGAGGAGCTGTAACTTCCTCGGGGGATGTTAGAGGACCTGCAGAGCAGAACAGAGTGATTAACATTCATTCAAATCAAAATAAATTAGTATTAGTAGCAGCCATGTTTCTAATGCATAGTACCGGCTTGACTCTGCTCGCCTTTTTTGGTTCTCCTTTAAGGGAAACCTGGTACTATTTGTGGCATCTCCTCCGTCGAGGTTCCAAGTGAGCCAAGTTGACGTGGAAAAACTGCAGACTACTGACTGGTCTGAGAGAATTGTCACTATCACCCTAAACGCATATGCTAACATTAGCTACCAGGTTAATGGACCTCTTGCGTCGCCTTTGAGCACCCAGAATCTTCTCGTCGTTTGATGTAGTTTTTCCCTTGTAGTTTAGTCTTTTGTCTTGCTGCCATCAGCTTCTTCTGGACAAAATTTGTCTCCTTTACCTCACGGCAGTTTTATGTGGCATCGCTATGTTGACCAGCTACATTGAGGGGGTTCTATATCTGCGGTGGAAAACGAATTAGCTGGTGCCAAAAGCGAGTAGAGTCCAGTTGAGACGGTACCATGCAGTGGAAAAGCAGCTATAGTAGCAGCAGTAATAGACAGGTCTGTGTAGTTTAGTGTTAGAGGTTAAAGCAAGCATATATACAGAGCCATATATCTGTACCCTCCTGATTTCCTATTTTCTTTTTTAATCACACTAAATGGTAACAGATCATCATAAAAATCATAAGACAAAGAGAACACAAGGAAAGGCAAAAGACAAATTTTAAATGATTAAAAGTTTTGCAACACCTGTTCAGCCACACTGAAGGGCTTTGAAGCAACTGCCTATTTAAGGTCCTGCCACAGAATGTGAGTTGGGTTCAGGTCAGGACTTTGACAGGTTCTGTGAATTATGACAAGTCGCTCAGGCCCTGAAGCAGCAAAGCATCCCCACATCATCACACTACCACCACCATGTTTCACTGTTGTTATGATGTTCTTATTGTGGCGTTAGCTTTACGTCAGATTTAACAGGGCCTCTTCCACTTATTCCAAAAGGTTTGAGGGTCATCAAGGTTTTTTTTGGCAAATGTGAGACAAGCCTTTACGATTCTCTTGCTTAGCAGTGGTTTTGGCCCTGCAATTCTCACACAGATACCATTTATGCCTGGTGACCTTACTGGAGGCGAGCAAAACCTGTAGTGTCCTAGATGATTGTTGCTAAGCTCTTGGAGGAATTTTGTTAGGCCGGCCACTTTACAACTGTCCCAGGTTTTATCTATTTATATACTATGATAATGACTATCAACATGGTTTTTCTTTCTCATCTCTTCAGGAATTTCTTTTCATCGCAGCATAGTGTGCTGCTTGTTCAGACCTACTTCACATTGCTAGAAAGATTCTGTTTATGTGATGTTTAGATTCAACAGGCCTGGCAGTAATCAAGTCTGGGTGTTTGCTAGTGTAATTGATCCCAGTTATTACCAGTTGGTTGATTGAGTAACCAAGGGGCAACTACTTTTTCACACAGGGCCAGTTGGTGTTGGATAACTTTTTTTCCTTCAAGAAATGAAACTATCATTAAAAAACTGTATTTCATTTTTCGTGTATATTAAATTTTGTTTAAAGATCTGAAACAACAGAAACTTTTTCACAGCACTGTATGATACGAAAATATCAATATATGAAAATATATGTGCACAAACTGAGTGGAAACCTTGCACAAATGTACCATGAAATATATTCAACCACATCCCATAAATACAGAAACACAGACAACGGCTGACCCATAACAAACCTGTAACACTGAGGGTCTTTTCTATGGTCCCCAGCACTTTCCCCTTTTCATCTCTGACCTCACAGGTCCACTGGCCGGCATCAGCTGAGGTCACAGAATTCAGGGTTACAGTGTTGCCAGAGCTTTTATAAGGTTCAACACCGGAAGGCTTCATCCACTGAACCTGCGCTGTTGATTCTCCACCAACATCACACTTCAGGGTCACATCAGTGGAAATCAGCACTGTGTCTGAAGGACTCACAGAGACTGAGAGAAAGAAGAGAGAACTTAGAGGTCAGTTCACAGCTACAGGGTGACTTTAACTCTACCAGAAAGTGTTTCTGGACCTGATGATTGAGATCTAGTCCAGATGACATCACCAAATCTGTCTCTCACCTGACATGACATGCAGTGAGTGATGCAGTGTGACTTTCTTGTTTGTCACATCGTGTCCAATGCATGTGTAGGTCCCAGAGTGACTGACCGCCACTGAAGAAATTTGCAGCCTAATTTCATATACCTTTGCTTTCCGTGCAAGTTCAGTGATCCCTGTAAAACAAAACCATCTCACAATAACAGGCCACATGTAGATTCACTGATCACTTTTTAAGTACACCTACCTTGTACCTATACTCAACGTCCACTTACCATATAGATGCACTTTTTTGCTTATGTCAGGTTTTGACTGGATTTGGACGTCCCAAGTATGTGTCGGTCTTTGGTCAGGTTCAAATTCATTTGGCTTTCTCACAGCCTGCCTCTCACTTTAAACAGATTCAACGCTGCATTTACTCTGGCTTTAGTTTTACTTTTCACTTTATTCATCCTCTTTACCTTATACCAGGGGTCGGCAACATGCGGCTCTTTTACTGCCCTGTTGGAGCTCCACAGCAGAATTAGGTTTGTAGATAAAAAATAAAATCTTCCTTTACAGTAAAATAAAGCTCTGCTGATCGTTCAACACAGTTTAACAATAAATGGTCTTAAACTCTGGAGTTAATGTAGAACTGCTAATTCACCCTTAACCCTGAAGATCAGCGCAGACTGCTGGTCACCGTAGCAACACAGACAACAATCTCGTCTAGCTAGTAGCTAACGAAACGGCAAAGAGAGAGGTTTAAGACAAACAACGATAATTTGGAGACAAATGGACTGATTTGTGTTTTTAATCACTCCAGCTGGTTTCCTGATCTGTTTAATCTGCAACCAGAAACTGTCAAACTGTAAAAAGTTGTGAAGGTGAAGTTTCTCATTCATCAGCTTCTTGTTCGAATTTTTGCATTCCACCTTAAATAGTGCCGCAGTTACATTCTAACGTTGCAGGCACCATTTAAGATGGAACGGGAAAATTCAAACAAGAAGCTGGCGAATGAGAAGCGACTTCAGCCTCGTAAAAAGTCGAACGTTGAGAGACATTTTACAAGAAGCTCTTTTACTCTTGAGAAAAGTTTCCTGTCGGAGATGTGAGAAAAGCAGCTATAGCTGACCTAAAGCTTAAAGCAGAGCAAAGTAAGTCTGAGTTTTCATTATACTATAATACATTTTTTAGCCTATATTAATACATCAGCACATACTGAGACATATTTACAGCCAAGATGGTAAAATGGACATAAATGTTGTGGCTCTTAAAGTGGTTGTGTATTGGTTAAAAGAAATTTGCTGAGCAGGTATTATCTGAATGGATCAGACACAGCAGGAGTTTTGGAGTTTTTAAACACTGTGTCCACTGACTGTCCACTCTATTAGACACTCCTACCTTGTTGGTTCATCTTGTAGATGTAAAGTCAGAGACGATAGCTCATCTGCTGCTGCACAGTTTGTGTTGGTCATTCTCTAGTCCTTCATCAGTGGTCACAGGACACTACCCACAGGTGTTTAAAAACCCCAGCAGCACTGCTGTGTCTGATCTACTCGTACCAGCACAACACACACTAACACACCACCATCACATCAGTGTTACTGCAGTGCTGAGAATGATCCACCACCCAAATAGTACCTGCTCTGTGAGGGTCCATGGGGGTCCTGACCACTGAAGAACAGGGTAAGAGGGGGGCTAACAAAGTATGCAGAGAAACAGATGGACTACAGTCTGTAATTGTAGAACTACAAAGTGCTCCTATATGGTCAGTGGAGCTGATAAAATGGACAGAGAAAGCAGAGTGCAGGTACAAGGTAGGTGGACCTAATAAAGTGAGTAGTTTCTTTAAAAAACAACAAATAAAATGTTTTCACAAAGTATTATTACAACAGAAAATCAAAATCTCAAAATCAGATGAAGGTAGTATTACATACCTTTAGACAATATTCCACTTCTTCCAGATATTTTTCCAATTAAGTTATTGTTGTGTTTCCACTCAATACCTTTGGCACCATCAGCATTATTACAGTTCATAGTCACCCCCTCTCCACTTTTCCTATAGAACACTTCAGATCTCCCTGTGGCTGCACAAAGAGCTGAAATGGAGAGAAACAGAACGTAGCAGAGTTTATGAAAGTGACTGAGTTTTTGCATCTTGAGACGGTGGTCTGTCCACTGGATGTCAAAGATTTGGGGACAATTCTTCAGCAGGATGTTTGATTTTCATTTCCAAACTGTTATTACAAGCAAATTATGAAATGTGCATTTCTTAAAATACTAATGATTTAGATGTCTTAAAAGAAGTGAAGACAGTCTTAGGCCCAGTCCCATTTCACCCCTCGCCCCTTCCACTTAACCCTACCCCTCCGTTTTGCGCATTCATGTCTAGGCAAAGGGTGTCCTGATTTTTGTTGAGATAGAGGGGGAGGGTGAAGTGTTGGGGCTACATGACCCTCCAAACGGAGGTTCTTCAGAGACTCCAAACAGAGTGATATGAGAAAAAAAGAAAAACCAGCAAGATGGCTGAACAAGAGACCAAACAAACCCACAAATGTGAGAATTTTCTCTGTTACAAATTAATTGCAGGTTTAGTGCTGGTTTAGCTGGTCAACCAGCATGCAAACCAGAACATTTAGCAGGACTGTTTCAGGAACATTTGAGCAGACTTTCCATTGTGAGCATTAATCATGAGGTTAGTGGTGAGTTTCTTACGATATCATTGACAATGTTGCCCTTTTTCAACAATATAGTGGAAGATATCACGGGTGGACATGATGATAAACAGCAAATAACTGTAAGGGGAAATATAGCCGCAAACGAGTGAGTGGCAATGAGAGGGTCCAAGAACTCATCAGCACAATAAGTCCTAATGCAGTTTTAGCTAAGTAGGCTTAACAGGCAGAGAAAAACAAACGGAAAGGAAGTGAGAGTTTATCAAAAGGCCTTAATTTGCCTTCAACAATGAGCAGAGGTCTTTAAACATAATACATATTTATGTTCATATATATTGATCTAGAAAGGTTTGTTTTTAGAGAGAGGACTCAAGTCAGGTTTGGCTGAAGACCATGGGCGGATACAGCCTCAAGACCTGCTGTAGTGACGATCACAAAGGAAGAATAGATTTCTGTGGTTGGATGAAGCTCTAACAGGATGCTAAAGCAAAGGGTGTATAGCCCCTAGAATACACCTAGAATATTCTATTGTGTTGATCTTTCCTCTACCAACAGCTGCATTCAATATTAGGACTGTAAGATGTTTGAAAAGCAAGAAAGGTCATACTTTAGAACTTTAATTTCAGAGATGAATGTAAAGTGTTTTTTTGTCTGCATAAAATCTTTGTGATTTAATGTGAATCAAACTAATTATGCTTAGATGAGACTGCTGATATCTCAAGAAATAGAAGATTCCTCCACAGCCAGATGAGAAATTGTGATGTCATAGCCCGCTACACTTTTAGGAAAAGGGTTCAAAACAGTACCAAAAAAGGTTTGGACTTGTAACAATAGTGGGGCCCTTTTTGGTGCTATATAAAGCTATTTTGGCACAACCATAAACAACAGGTTTTCAAATATAGAGAAGAATAATTTCATACATTCAGGTGGTTCTTTGCGTTGTCATGGTTCCATATATAACCACTGCTTTTACTAAAGAACCCTTGAAGAACCAGTTTGTTAAGGGAAAACTGATGCCCAACGTCCTCCAAAGATCAGGGAGGAGTAATGAGAGAGCAAAAAAGTTCATGTATCAAAAAGGAGATTACTTCATAAAGCACCATTTATATCAACAGATCAAATTAGAAAATGAAAAAGGCTAAAAAGAAGAACATTTGCTAATCAAAGAAGCTGCTGGTGTTCTCAGAACAACAGACTGCTCAACCTCAACACTACTGAATGTGTTTGATTACTTCAGAAAATGATCAACCAGCTTCTAAGACTGAACTTTGGAGGTGTGTCTGCAGATTCTTTGAGGAACTGAAAGAGAGTCTCCTGAAAAGAATGGAAGCTGGAATGAAGGTAAAGAGTGAAACATGAATATTATACTTAGCTGTGTAATTTTCTGTTAAATGTTTTCTGCTTTTTTCCTGATGCTGAAAAATGAATAATTTATACTTAATGACCATTTTGAGTGGAAATTATATAAATGAAATCTCTGACTTGTGAACCGTATGCATAACAGCTCATTTCCAGCTCAATCAAAGTTCCGGTGGAGGTTCTGAGCAGCGGTGCAAAGTATTCTGCACTTCTATCACATCCTTTCTTTTTCATCCTTTGCTTTTCATCTCTCAATTTTAATTTTAACTTCTTTAAATTAAAGCCATCAAATTTATTGTGGAAAGATTCAAACACGGAACTAAATAACACGACTGTTTCATTTTTATAGCACATTTCACTTTCAGTGCTCATTGTCTAATTTTCTTTCTTTTATCCCTCCATCTTCTCATAGAAACCAATTGATTTATAGACATTCCCTGACATTTTGAGCTGCAACACCACAACTGAACATTTCTAGGGTTAAAAATAGGTCAACTGAAAACTAACTAAAAAATTATTCACAAACTTTATAGATAACTTTGTATCTAATATACAGTTTTTGGGCAGTTATAGATGTGCTTGTTGGTTTTTAAAGTGAAAATAAGTGAACACACCCTCTACAGATCTCTCTTTGTTTTATTTATTATATTAGCAGTAATTAGAAGTGTGTTCCCTGTAGAGGCTGTGTTCACTTATTTTCATGAAATCAACGAGACGTCATTTGAGCAGGGGTGCCAAAACTTTACACCACCATATACACACATATTATTAGCCAAAACCATAGCAGCCTAAACGTAATCACTTCTCCCAAGAGCTTTTTAACGACTGCATAATCATATATTCTAACAGCATAATGATGATAAGAAATAAGATCAGTTTTTCTCAGATTTTGTTGATGGAATAATTTAATGAGGTCCAGCAAAAATCTCTCACTCACCTAAACAGACCCACAGGCAGGTTATTGAGGTCACTGACGCAGTCATCTCTTGCCATTCAAATTCTGTCCATCAGAAATAAAAAATTCATTTTCATTAATTGCATACACAGATAATACAGATAAGACATTTAACAAACTGTATTGACGTTATGGTGGGAATTATAATGTTATTATCGCATCAACAACACAACAACTCACTCTGGCTCTGTCTCTCCTGACTGCGCCTCACTTTTTTACAGCCTTGATCTAAAGTGCAAACCATCCTGGTGGCTTCTGACCACAGAAGCTGTTTCCGCTGTTGCATCTTTCATTTCCTCTTCTATGCCCTTCTCTACATCTCTTTACAATATATTTACAATAGTTTTCCCCAAAACCTTACAATTTTATGATAAAACTTTTTTTATGATTTTTATTCTTCTACACTGTTTGAGCGCAGCAGCTGAGCTTCACACTGAGTGAAAGTTTTATGAGGAATGGTTTGAAAGGAATGTTTTCCAATAAAAAAATAACAATAACTTACATTTCAAGTTAAACGTTTCTGCCTTCTCCTGTAAATGTACCTTTGTGGAGAAACTTACCGTTTGTTTTTTATTTTGGACAGTGATGATATGTTATAGAAATATCCCAAAATAAACGATGACTTTACACCTGCTGAAATGAATACTGAACAGCAGAATTTACAGTAATCTGAGGTGTCATTAAAGAGGCCAGCTGTGCTGCTATTGATTACATTAGCAGCAACTCAAGTTCTACAGCTGCGTTTCCACCTACACATTCTTTACTGTAATAATGTTAAAGACGCCGGCACTGAATCACGATAAAGATCTTTCACTTGTTACTCGTAACACAGTAGCTTTTAAACCATTTTTATGATGCTGCGTCAACTCCGCAGCTTTCATTTGATTTAAAAATCACAGATGATTTTTTTAATTGATTTTCTAATTTGCCTCTTTAATTTCTTAATTCTTCAGTTTACTCTGGTTAATCTCAGTCAAAGTACTAAAATTTTGTAAAATAAAAACTTGTAAAAATCTTTTCAAATCTTCATAATTAAAAAATAATATCCTGAATTAGCCTGAATATTCATTTTCGTATCTTCATAGATGAGCTACACTGTAAACACTATTTTTAGTAAATTGCAATATTTTGATACTTACAAATGAGCTCAGTTCAGGACTTTGTGCCTACACAGATGTTTCAGAGTGAGTGCAGCTGTGCTGATCTGGTGCAAAGCTTAGAGGAGAGAGAGAGAGAGAGAGAGAGAGAGAGCGGAAGAGTGCAAAACTCCTGTTTTTTGTCCTCCATGGTTTCAGTTACACAATTCTCTTACCAGAACATTTCCCCACCTCAGCAGACGTATCGATATTTGGGGCCAAATATTACTAAGAAGCTCAACCTCCTCATAGTGACAGGGTGGAACAGTTCAGGCTGAACTCAAGGTCATCAAGGTTAAACTTTCTACAATATTTTTTTTCCCAGCAGTTAATTAACAACCTTCGTGTGACGGGGTTTTGCTTAATGGATCCGAAGTGATTAATTCTGAATAAAAGCTTTTAAACGTGGCTCCTCTAAAGACTTACATGTCACAGTGTTTATTAGTACATCATTTTAAGGATAAATTGGTTGTTATGATGTTAATGTAACTTTTATTTAGTCATATCTGACCTTGCACTTCAAAGGTATACACATGAAATACATACACATATTGGAAAGAAGCTGCTGGTGTTCCTAAACGGACTGCCCACCCCACAGTCCAGACCTCAACATTACTGAATGTGTTTGAGAATGTTGGGATCGAGAGAAGCAAAAAGTACAACCAACTTCTAAGACTAAACTTTGGAAGTGTGGAAATATCCCTGTAGGGTTTATAACCTGTACTTAATGTCTGTTTTGACTGTACATACATACATAAATAAATAAATAAATAAATGAATGAATGAATGAATGAATGAAAAGTGGTCTCTGACTTTTAGACAGTGCTGTATATTGTATATAAAGTGTGGCCACCCCAGGTCAAATTACACATTTTATTGTGCAAACATTCTTCAGATTTGATGGACTTTAAATTAGAAGAAAGTAAATGGCTCGTGCAAAAGTTTGGAGACTCTTCCAGTTGTAATTCAGACCTTAATTAACTCATTAGGCCTTATTTGAGTCAAGAGCTGTCATTAGGAGTTATTTGCTGACAATTCCAAAGAGTAATAAATTCTCTGACTCCTCAAATATTGTGCCAACACTCAACAACCATGGGCTCCTCTAAGCAGCTGGCTGAGGATCTTTAAATAAGGCTAACAGATGCCTACAAAGCAGAGGAAGGCTATAAACAGTTATCGAAGTGCTCAGCTCCTAAACAAATGGCAGTTAAGGGGAACTGTTGAAGACTAGATCTGGAAAATCAAGGAAGCTTTTAGATAGATCTGCTCGTGTGCTGGCCAGAAATGCAAAGTAAAACTCCCATATAACAGCAAAGAACCTGCTGGAAAGTTTGGCTGAGTGGTGACGCAGTGTGCAGTGCTGCTTACGTAAACATGATCTGTATGGAAGAATCACAGGAAGGAAAACTCATCACAGACCTCATCTCAAAACATCTGTAAAACAATGTCTTGATCAGCCAGAGGCATTTTGGAAACAAGTGCTGTGGACTGATGAAGCAATCAAAAAAGATATGTTTAGAATAAAAAGGAGCAGCATTTGATGAAAGGAACACTGTGCCAACTGTTAAGCATGGGGTGGATCTGTAACACTCTGGGGTTGTTTGGCAGCCAGTGACACAGGAAATACTTTAGGGTCGATGGAGGAACGGATTCCACTGAATATCAATGAACAACAAATTCTGGAAGCAAATATGACACAGTCAAGAAACTGAAGCTGAAAAGAGGCTGAATTCTACAACAGGACAAAACATATCCAAGAATCCACCATGAACTACTTCAAGAAATGAAAGCTGAAGCTTTTGGAATGGCTTTCACTATGACTTGAACATCACTGAAAATCGTGGGCAGGTCTTACCCACATGTATGTGATATGGCCTAAGAAACAAGAGCTTTCTGAAAGTATGAGTGGGTGGAAATTCCTGAAACAAGAACAGAAAGACGCCTGGCTACAAAAAGCATTCGCAAGCTGTGATTTGTTGCAAAGGGGGTGTAATAAGTACTGAATAAAAGGTCGTCCAAACTTTTGCACATGCTGTAATTACTTTTTTCTATTTTTTACATTCAAATCAAATATGACTGTTTACATACAAACACCATTTTAACTTGCAACACATCATCATACCATATGTTAGTAATGGACTTTAAATTAATATATTTAAACTAAAAAATGACTAATTAGCAGACTTTTGTTTCTTATAAACGTTCCAAATGGTACTTCTTACAGTTCGCTGGCAAAAGGTATTGTTTACAGCTTTTCCCGATCACTAAAACACATTTAAAGAAACTGGGGTTCACTTAATGTTCATTCAAATGTGTTACACAATCTTATTGCTTTCACAGGTAACAGGTGTCATTAAATAAAAGTGATTTAAAAATGAGACGTGGAGCATCCAGACAGTCGATTCTACCAGATGTGTTTCTACTTTTGTTTTTTTTTTCATACTCACTGAAAAAAGGCGAGAATAGTTAAAAGCAAACGATGACAGGACAGACTTTGTGGATGTCCATCAGTAGAGCGATGTGTAATATATCTATACGATGTCTGACTTTCCTATTGAGGTTTCTAAAAAATGGTACAATCAATGGTACAGTGTGTCAACTCTGTCATGGACATGCCATTAATGATCACACACACACACACACACACACACACACACACACACACACACACACATTTCCTAAGCCGCTTATCCTTCAAGGTATGAATGATGACATTGATTATAATTGTTTTGTCTGAATTGTACTGTAAATTTCAGTTTGGTGTGGTCTGAATGTAAGGCCTTATGTTTGAGCCCCTCCTGCTACTGATACACTCAGGCTCAGGTTTGGCCTCATTTTGGACAATGATGCCCTCCAACACTCGCAAACAGAGTGAAATATGTTTTGGTGTGACTAGACGTCCCCGTTGTCCAGACACAGTCCCTAATTTTGGCAGGAGCTGTCCCTGGAAATGTCCCCGTTTCTAACTTTGAATTTAAAACACCTTGGAAAATCCTAACAAAGACAGCAGAGCAGACAGGCAGACGTTTTGTATTGTGCTTGTTTTGGCCAGCAGAGGGGGCTGCTGCTTCCTGACTACTTTTACCACTTTCTCACCTAGTTTTAGAAAACGCTGCTGTGGAAAACTTGACCAGAAGCTACAAAGTGTCAAGTGAATGGAGAATATCACTACAAATGTCTTTTCAAGACACAAGCTGACCCAGGGATTAAAGCAGGGGTGGGGTTATTGGACTTAAATTGTACTGCCAGGTGATAGGCATGCTCTGATTTTTATAGACATAGAATCAACTTGAATGTAGCTACCATGCAATCTACAAATAGTGCATCATTTTTTTTTAGCTGCGTCACTTTTTCAGCCATGGGTGTGTTTAAGGCATTCATGTCAAACTGAGAACCTTCTGGGCTGAATTAACGTTTACCCTCATCTAACGCTCTGAAATCAGTCTTGCTAATCAGCTGATGAGCTGAATCAGGTGTGTTTAATGAGGCAGTGTGCTGAAGTCTGCAGCGTTTTGGCCCACCAGGACTGGAGCCTGACACACGTGGTTTAGGGTCTGGCTATTGGGCTACAGCCACGGGCCTCTTTTTACTACCAACATATTCAATATTAATATGAATTATGGGCTCAAACGTCCCCTGGATCTTTTGAGGTAAATGTATGCCTGCCTCATCCCCGCCTAAGCCACTGGGCTTAGAGACTTTTGAGACCTTTTTTACTTAGTGACTATTTCTAAAAAGCAACCAGTGACAAATCTCATAAGGGGAAAAGCAAGAAATATGAATCTTTAATGCATAAAACTGGAACTGTTTCCTTTTTTATTTCATAGATAAAAACGCTGGATATTTTAATGAGATATTGACCGCCGAACTGGAACTGTCCCCGTTTTTCCTAGATTTCAGAAATCTGGTCACCTTAATATGTCTGATCTGAGTATTTTGGATTATCGGATTCTTACACTGTGCCACATTCTAAATCGGTTTACAGAAAGGTATCAGCAGCTTGAACAGCACTAATGAAGACTGAAAGCTGTAAACTGAAACCTGTATTTTGTGTTTGGTGTAGTGTAGTGGGTAACACCTCTGCCTTCTATACTGTAGACTGGGGTTTGATCCCCTGCTTGGGTGAGCACCCTACACTCTGGTCCTGGAGGGCTGGTGTCCAGCACAGTTTGGTGATTTACCTGATTACACTTCTCTGTTAAGTGGGTGTGTTTGAGCCTGGAAACCTCCAAACTGTGCCGGACACCGGCCCTCCAGGACCGGAGTTGTGCACCCCTGCTCTACACTACACCAGTAAGAGTCCTTGGACAAGACTCCTAACACTACCTTCACCTACTGTGTCAAATTGTAAGTCACTCTGGATAAGAGCATCTGCCATATGCTGTAAATGTGTTGTTCTGGTCAGTGTTTAGTGAGTGATTGGAGGAATTTATTCTCCTAGTGTTTGAAAATTTTGCTGTTGCTTCAAGTGTTTGTTTTGTCAAGATTATTTTGCAAAGAAAACTAATTTTTGGCCTGTTTAGTATCCTCTGAATGGACAAGTGATCAAGTAACTAAGACAAACTCTAAACATCAACCTATTACAACAGCCTAAAATTTACTAAAAACTATGACACATTTTATAACCGGAGTGCTTCAGAATCATAGATCAATCTAACCCTCCAACGTTGACCTGAGCTTTGGACTGATGAAGTAAAAGCACCAAAGGTATGTTTAGAATAAAAAGGAGCAGCATTTGATGAAAAGAACACCGTTCAAACTGTTAAGCATGGGTGTGGATCTGTAATGCTTTGGTGTTGTGTGGCAGCCAGTGACACAGGAAACACTGCACAGGTAACTGAAAGAATAGATTCCACTAATATCAGTAAATTCAGAAAGTAGACGTGACAGTAAGTCTGAAGCTGAAAGGTTCTCGCTTCTACACCGAGGCCTACTCTTTAACCCCCATCATCCTCTTAACACATTTTGTGCACTTCTTCAGCGCATCCTACACAAACTCCTTCAAAACCTCAATCCTCCACTTCATTTCTTAGAGCGGTTGTTTATTCCATCTGCATTCACAGCTAACACGTTTCTAAAGAGGCGTTATTTCCTGTTTGACACCTTTTTAGTAATGCAGGCACAGAATGAGTACCTGAGCTTAATGAGGGCATTTGCAATTTTCCATTTCTAGCACTGAAACAGTTTCAGAACTGGGCGATTATTTTTATTATTAGCATTTGGAATGAATAATTTTCAAGGTATTACATAATAGTATCCTAATATCTTGAAGTTATTTGGAGAAAAGTGATTCTCATATGCAGAGGGGTGTAGAGTAGCCTGATCACTCGAATAGGAAGGTATTGTTAATTCTTACCGCAGTAAAAGAGAAACTGCCTTCCCAAAAACCAACTTCAGCAGAGGTACAGAAGTCAGTGGCTTCCAATAGAATTACAGCAGTACATCAGGCCTTTATCAGCAGAGCAACTCGAGTTATTTAGACTCCTTTCTTTCATTTTGAATCCGAAAATAATATGTTAAAGCTTCAAAGTAAGAGATGTGACCAATCACAAAGCAGTACAGAGTAGAGGTCTGCACTACCATGGATTCCCGCGGGACCAGGCACAATATCTTGTGGCGCAGGGCTAATTTTCAGTGTTGCTTGCGGGAGCGGGCGGAAATCAGACCCCTTCAGACGGGAGCGGGCGGGAGCACGCATATAAAGAAATATGAATGAATAGCCTAAATAAAGTAGAACGATCACTAAATCATATGTGTAAACAATATAACAGTAACACAGTTAAAATGAATGAAGTCATTCTCGAGCAACTGACCACATGAACACGCAGATTCTCTTAGGTCTGATTCACATGTACTGCTTCTGGGTGCCATGAGCGACACGGAAGGTCTTGCTTTTCATTTTGGCGCCCATGTTAAGTGGTCAGCGGTTTCACACAGGCTGCGTGTGCAGTTCCAGACACTGCCATGGTGTTTAGAGAGGAGACCCGGGGCAGATTTTTCTGCGCGTCACGCAGCTAAATACACTGAAATAAGCCATGAAAATAAATGAAAATACAGAAAACCGTATAAAAACTTTTTTTTGATTTTTATGTAATTCATGACGAAACAAACATTCCGTGCCGCAGACAGATTTCCTGGTTGGTCTACCAGGCTTGAACGTTTTTCCTGATCACAAGTCAGAATGCTGCTGAGGATAAACAAACATACCGTGCACATTTATAAATTATATTTTTATGGAGCAGAGTGACTGATGTGAGCGTGTCTGTCTGGAAACAGGAATGTCTGTATAACTTTCTCGCTGCTCTGCTCAGCAGCACAAACGCTATATGTAAGAAAGGCCAGCACATTTCAGCTGTAGCGCTCGCGCTGCCGCATCACTCCCACCACGCAGAGGCTGGCAGAGAGAGAGATGGCAGAGCCTTCAGTCCGACGTCCACAACTGCCCAGCAAAACACCAAAAATAACCGCTCTGTGGTTTAATTCCTGCTTTGTGTTTACTGGGAATAAATGGCATTTGTTAAAGTTACTTCAAAGCGAGCCTGATGACCACGACTGCCATGTTACTTCAACAGAGAATGTATTTGTGATTAGATAATATTGGATGTGCGTGGTACTGCGCAGGAGGGAGCAGGATGAAATCTTGTGGGAGCAGGCGGGAGCGGGACCACAAGACACAAGAGATCACAAGACATTTGTTATCTTCAGATCACGACCTTTAACTGGATTGTTATCTTGAGATCATGACTTAATTGATCTCAAGATAACAATCCAGACAATTAGACCTACCTCGTGGCCTCTCTGGACTTCCGTACTGGACCGCCTACAAGTGAAACAGCCATCGTACCTCAGATCGAGAAAAGCAAGAAAACACAGTATTTTAACTGGTAACGAAGAAAATACAGCAGTGAGCACAAAGACTTATCACGCTGTGACAAACACGAAAGGGCAGAATGTCTTCAGGTGACAAACATCTCCTCACAAAACAGGTAGAGTCTTATGGTAAACTGGGAGTGTTGGTGCCGTCGTCCCGCTGCTCTCACACGTTCACTCAGGTTTGCTGACGGCGGAGTGGAGGGGCGCCGACATCTTGGGGAGCCTCATGTCTCTGTTAACTTCTGGCTCTCCTTTCTAGTAAAGGGCTGCAATAACTAGACCTGCCGGAGTCTCTGCTGCTCTGTTAACACTAATCTGTGATCAGTCACTCATTACAGAACTGTGTGTTTTCCTTTTTTTGCCGAGTTGAACAGCTGCCCATCCTGTGCGTCTGATGCTGTTGCTTCTTCTGCCTTGATCAGGTACCACTGCTCACCAGCCTTCTGGACCGGCTTGACCACCATTGAGCTTCATGCTGTACAACGCTGTGCAAACCTCACCCTCATGAACTGACCCTCCCGATGATGCTGCTGCTGCTGCATAAACTAAAACTCATTTAATTAACCATTGTTCCACCTGTTTTCCCCATTTTGTAATACTTTATACTAACAATGTTTGCTATCCAGTGTGGACCAGAGGAGGATGGGTTCCCCTTCTGAGTTTTGGTTCCTCTCAAGGTTTCTTCCTGTTTCTCTCAGGGAGTTTTTCCTTGCCACCGTCACCATTGTCGATGCTCGTGGGGGCTCGGACCCAGATTTTTCTGTAAAGCTGCTTTGTGACAACACCTGTTGTAAAAAGTGCTCTATAAATAAACTTTGCTCGCTTGCTGGCTTTCAGGGGGCATCTTACAATTCTGGAGAAGGGAGCTCGGAGAGTTTCAGCACCTCACTCAGGAGCTGGAACTTTATGGGATCTTTCAGATATGGATGTTTGAGTTTGAGGCACTTTTGGAGATGCTAACACCATCTGTGAGAAAGCAGGGGACAAATATCAAACAGTGATGCTGAGGTCTGGACTCTGGGGTGGTCAGTTGGTTGTTGGTCAGTTATAAAGTGTGGTCTATGACTTCTGTGCAATACTGTAAGTGATTCCAAACTCTGGACCCTCTGGAGTGGATGGTTTTATGTATGTGCATATACTTCTTCATACACACACTATTCTGTTTAATGAATCTAAACAGACTCAAAGCAAAGAGACACATCTTTTATTTTTTTTTTTCAAAGCAAAAAGAAACAAAATGAATATTTCCCCAAAAAAGGAGAAAAAACAAAACAAAACTCAGCTATCACCGCTAGCAACATCTGCCAGAAGAACCAGTTTGGTTTCGCTTTCTGTCAACATACAATGTTTGTTGATCTTTTTTTTCTGTGATTTAGTGATACCAGTCATCAAACTTTTGCAGAGATCTTGTTTTTGGGATGCAGGGGAGAGCAGGAAATTAGAGCGTGGCTCTAGAAGCGATGACCTCACAACAATAACCAGCGCAGGAGCAGGTTGAGAAGAGGAGGGCATGCATATGTACGCTGTATTTCACCTGTGCTAGCGGCTAACACTGTGGTGGGGACTTCACAAAGAAGGTCTTTCTCACTTAGCTAAATACCGTAAGTCCAAACTGAGGACTGACCAACAGGAACGACCCTTAGACTGCATAAAGAATGGTACCTTGGTCAGTGAAAGCATCTTAAATAGAGGCAGTATGTCTATTATTATACATAAGGTGATACTGGGGGAATTAATAAGATCAATTTAACCATCTTCCCATACCCAGATTAAGGCTAATCTTAGACTTAAAAGAACTACCAATGGTGGTTCACCACTGGCCCTGCAATTTAGTCCAAGACTAGGCTTTATTACTTTCCGAAAAATGACCTATGATGTCCTTACAGCATTCTTATATTTGGAAAACAGATATATTACCAATATTCAAGATGCTTTCATCTGCCAAGATATAATTTTCTGCAGTGTAATCCTCACTTCTGGCTCTAATTACCCAGCTCACTTGAGAAACCCTGCTTTGTAAACCCCCCCCGAGTGCAATCACTCCACTTTTAGTCCTCACCTCTGCCTGGCAGCAGGTATTTGTGTAAGAAAGAAGTGCTTGAATTCCTCCGAAAACAAATAAAAAATAAAAAAATAAAAATAAAGTGTTGTGTCAGTTGAGAAGCTTGAGTACGCCCCACCCCGGCCCCCCTCAGCAGCTAAGACAGAGGTGTTTGTTTGTACGTGTAAAGTCTTCTATTCAGCCACTCTCCGGTAGAAGTACAGGTAGCCCAGGTCCTTCGGTGGTTTCTCAGAGGCACACACTTTTTGATCGTTGAAGATTATCCACCTAGAAAAAAGAGAAAACAAAACAGGAAGAAAATCGTGTGCATTAACATTAGTGCACTGCCTGAAAACAATACGCTCTGAAGCTGTTTACATCTCGCATAAACATGTGCCTTGTTGAACAGTGTTTGGAATTTACTTCACCACCAAAAAAAAAAACAAGGTATAAACAAGGGCTGGATGGAATATTCTGAATACTCATCTATCTTGGTATCGTTTTCTTATTTAGGATTTGGAAGCTTCGTCTTTGGCCGACGCTTTATGTTACATTCAATCGTGGGCGTTGAAATCTACACCTGGTTTATTTCACTGCTGCAGTCGATGGCAAAAGTTGTGAAAACTGCACTCGAGAGAGAACATTACGCTTAGCGCTGCGGTCTGCATAACGCTGCCGCCTGCGTGGGAGAATTTTCTGCCGCGGCATCATTAAAAACAATGGAATATCCAGTTTGCTGTCGCCCACCAAGCACCAACGTTTGAACGCAGAATTAGATTCAACCAGAACTCTAAATGCTCTTGTGGATTCCTGACAATTTTCAGAGATGGAGGCTTTAATAAAAAAACCTGAAAAAAAATGGTAATTACTAAACAACGGATGTGGTATTCAGCTGTAAAAGAATAAGGTCATTAACATTAGGTAAAGGCTGAACACGATTTCCCAATGTTACTACTTTCCTTTGAAAAACTGAAGTTAATTAGCTTTGACTGTTGAACAGGTGTAAAAAGCATCTTCAGCCAGTCAATTAGCCGTTGCAGAGCTGAGAGACGAGCCTTCCTGCACTCCCAGCCAATGAATGCATCAAAAACAAGCTTGTTGATTTGATTGCAACAGGGGGGAAGTATACACAGAGGTCAAATATAAATGAAGTATGTGTTGACATGCTTTTTACGTGGGAAGGTAAAATCTGATCTCATCTGGTCACACTGGGGATGCAAGTGTAAATGAAATACAGCCAAAGTATCTCCAGATTTGATCCACGTAAACGCAAGGTGTAAACAAGCTCCATGTTCTTGTGAAAGAGGTGGAGGGGGTTTTACTCACTGTTGGTCCTTTTTGATGTGGCAGACGTAGTGACCACACATTGTGCTCGTGCCCATGTGACTGATAAAAGCAAACAGCTCATACTCTGCAGGACAGAACAAATCAGAGATTGCTTGTTTAGTTTTAGAGCAGGCAAATGTAACTAACAGGGAACAGTTTGTTCTAACTGCATACCCAAGTCACCACAACTCAAACTGTATTGTGTTGTTAAAGCTTAGTACTATTTGGAGACAGTCTGAAAGTACGATACTAGTGGATATCACCCCAACAACTAACTGTCCGTTCCAAAACGGAACAACTGGCAACCCTATTCACAGCATTCCAACCACCAACAATCTAGAACTGATGTTTACACAAGCAGGTAAATATACACTCACTTCCCGGTCCGTCTCGGACACGTGGTCCGGGTGGGGGGTCACGGCTGGCTTCACTGCCTCCCTCCGAGCGCCCCCCTTCTGACACCTCCATAGACTCTAGATCATCCAGGTGAGAGAAGATCCAGTCCACAGCCCGCTCCAGGACATTACTCTACATGGGAAGGAAGAGAAGGTCAGTATTTCTAGAACTACAACATGGACCATAAAACTGCCCAATTATAAGGAGACTGTAAACAACAACAGCTACAGTATAGTAACTGCATAAGCTGGAGACTAACAAGTAGCTGACAAGATGACTATTTTATTTTTAATTTGCTTTGTTATTTCACCACCTATTGGATTTTCAGTGTTATTTTAGCACCAGACTAACACTGCTCACATTCTGTAGCAGCACAGAAGCGGTTTGCTTGGCTGTGTCTCCTTTAACATAGCTGTTCTGAGGAGTTACTCACAGTAGCTCTGAGAGCACGCGAAGCTTGATCTCGGCTGAATCCCATGGAAACGATGGTCGCCAGGTGCTCTTCAGAGGCACTTTCTGTGGGTGTGGACCCAGGGCCAGAGCTACAGCCAGGCAACACGAAGGGGGCGGAGAAATCTGCAGCCAGCCAGGTGCACAAGATTAGTGGAAAATTTGTAAAAGTCATCAAAAGTCATCAAAAGTAAGCTTACATTTGCAGCTCCCAGTTTTAGAGGTTTAAGATTACCTGGATCATCCATGTGGCTCATCACCCAGTTCATAGCAGCGTCGATGCCAGTGTTGCCTGTATAATACACTGCCTTCCTGCAGGCCTCCATAGGAAAGCCCATCTCACACAGCTGAGATACAGTGGAGTCGTCCAGCACCGGAGCTGAGAGGCACATACAGGTACAAAGATGTCTCTTGGAGCATAATATTAAAACACACCTTTAGTGTGATGTTCATGAGCTAACTTGACAATGAGTTCACCAAGAAATATAACAAAAGGTGTAAATGGTTGATAAAACTTAACGCCACAGACAAACTAATCTGTGAGTGTATTGTGAACCAAAGTCCTGAGCAAGTCAGCAAGTCAAAGACCTGTTTTAGTTACATGTTGTTTCCTATCCACAATAATGGTTTTCTTCTAGGGGGATCTGGCTGAAATAGTACCATGCATGTTCAAAGCCCTCATGGGGCAGGAGCACCCTGAATTTTTGACCAATTCTCCACCTTCATTAACATGGTGGAGATAACGGATAGCTCCTTGAACTATTAGATAACCTCAGAAAACGTTTAATTTATAATTTAATCATTTATATTTGAATAATTTAGATTTTAACTGGCATTACACGTCTGCTTTCTGAATAATTAACCTGGTCTTTAAAAGACAAAATAAAATGTTTGATTAAAAAGATGTTAAACTCATAAGACACTGTCTTGAAATCTTTTTTCATTAATTATTTCATTATTATTAGAAAAAACCTGTATAATAAATTATTTAAATAACATCAATAAAAAAATCGATATTTTTCCTCTTATTTCTTCATAATGTTATTATTAAATAATTGTCTTGATAAATTCTCAGAATAATATCAATGAAGAAATATGTATATATGATCTAGAATTATCCCAAACTGTCCTAAGAATCCAATAATCAGTAGGTAAAGTTTTCCAAATCTGAATGGTCACAAGTATTGTCAGTACTGGACAGGTATAAACCGAATCTGCTGATGAAAATATCAAAATCTGACCATATCATATCAGTACATATCAACATATCAGTCAAATTTAAAGAGAAATGTATAAATAAAACATTCAACACAAACACACACACGAAAGGAAAACAAAGGAGGAAAGAAGGGTGAAAAAAGTGTGTTAGAGACAGATGGACGGCTGAGGAAGGAAGAGAAAGACAGACAGACTGACACAGCAGTGGGGAGTAGAGAGAGTCGTCCTCCTCGTTGCCGCGGGAACCCAGGATACCTTTGACCTCCACGTCAGGGGTCATGAGAGGGGGCGGGGCCACCTCTGGCAGAAGCTCCTCCCCCGGCTGCTGTCCAGTCCCACGGAGCGCGCTCAGATCCAGTGTATCAGGAACATCAATACTAACATCTAACGGATAAATCAAGATATTAAATGTATTATTATTAACTATTAAAAACAAGAATCACTGTTTCAACTTACTCTGAACGCTTTCATGCTCTCTGGACAAACACAAACATAGAAACACATCACAAAATCTTTTATATATATGTAGTAGTGCTTAAATGTTTGAAATCATTATAGAATATATGAGTATAAAATGATTCTATTAAAGGGGATTCTATTAAAGGGGGTTGTTTGATTTAATTTGATTTTGGTTGTTGATGAAATAATTCATTATAGATAAACTTGCCAAATCAGACATCTTTACAGTGGTGGTGATAGGAACCAGGGGTCGCAGTGTCTAATGCTGATAGAGCCATTTTTACCGTCCAAAATGAGCAATAAACCTTCTTTAGGTTCGATTTAGCCTTACAACAGCCTGCATGTACCTCTCTATGATTAATGGATAAAGAAAAAAGTTTCAGGCCAAATCTCATTTCAACACTCATAAAACAATTAGGCAGCATTATTTGAGGCAGCTCAACTCATAGCTATTGCATGCAATAACTTTCTGTGAGGGAGCCTTTAGAGGTGGACGTCTGGTTCCTATCACCACCACTGTGAACAACTCTGAGTCGGTAAGTTTGTCTAGAACAGAGAATTTCACACCAAACCACTCTGAATGACTTTGTTTACATCTTCACTGTTTAATTATACAGAAATCTTAAAAAAGCAACAGAATTCCCCTTTAATTTGCAGATACTTTATTGGGTTCAAGAAATTTGCAAGAAGCTACAGATGATACTAAAATGACTGAGAAAGCTGGAGAACATCTACTGAAGAAATATAAATATTAAATACATAATATTATGAATAAATAATTCCAGCGTATTATTTATCATTTAATAACTTTATTCTTATCCCAGAAAAAAAAATCTGCTGTTTTAATCTAGACTATAAAAGTTATTACTCAATACAAATAACAGCAATTATTAATATGACAAATTATTCTAACATTTTGTAGTGCAGATAGCAGAATAAAAAAAACAAAAATTTACCCAGTTTTTTAGGGACCCAGTCCAGGCCAAAAGTAAACTTCTTAATTTGGATGACGAGATAGTCGGGGAACGAAGCAAAGCGTGTGGTCCTGAGGCAGAGAGCAGAAGACAAGGAGAACGTAGGTTAGCAGGTCAGTCTTTATCCACCTGTTACACAAAACAAAGCAAAATGAGGCAGATAATGAAGGCTGTTTACTTGGTGGCAGTGGTCTTGCCCTGCACTGCTGAGCTCCAGAAGTCTGTGAGCGTTTCTGGTTCACTCAGAGCGTCTAAGCAGGCAGAGAATGGGATTCGAGCACGAGGAGCTGCAGGTGGAGGATTTCCGGATGCTTCCGCCTCCTCACGTAAACGCTCAGCCTCCTGTAACTCCTCTGATAGACGAGGAGAAAGAGGATACAAAGCATGCAAAGAGTTTAATGATGATTCCCTTTTATTATTATTTGTGAAAGTTCATATTTTTCTAAGCAGTATAACGTGAGTGCAGAGTCCTGATGGTGACAAAAATAATGTGCAGCCTTACTGAGTCGTAGGAACTGAATCTTAATGTGTGGCCACAAATTAGTAAAGCATGGGAACAAGATAGTCAAGTTGTGGTCACGTCTTACTAAGCCGCATTGGTGGCCTGGTCCATGGGCCTAATGTGTGGCCATGACTTCACTCTCTCATTCTCACTGCTTACTAGATTGTGGCCACCCACTAGGATCTTGTTTCCACACTTCAGTAAGTTATTTCTATTTTTATTTGTACTTTAATTCAAAAATTGTTTATTTACAACAGGGCTTCACAAAAAGGCCACCGTTTTAAACAACAGAAATAATCATTGTGGCGATGCAAGTGCATTTTGGAACGTTACAATGAATTATAATGATCAATTACTTATGAATAATAATATTATAAACAAATTTGACAAAACATCAAATGTCTTGATTGTCTAAATCAGGGGTGCACAGCTCTGGTCCTGGAAGGCCGGTGTCCAGCACAGTTTGGAGGTTTCCCTGCTCAAACATACCCACCTGTTGGAGCAGGTAAATCACCAAACTGTGCTGGACACTGGCCTTCCAGGACCAGAGCTGTGCACCCCTGGTATAAGTGAAAATAAGTTAACACCTTCTACACTGACAACACTTAACACTTAAATATGGGTATTTTCTACACGTTTGCAAATAACTTCTATTTATCTGCTAAATTTACCATATTGGAAAAAAGAACATAAAATACAAACTGTGCCAAACTTTTGAACAGGCCACATTTTATATTTTATTTTGCCCCATTATGTTAAATTAAGCAAATAAGCAGTAACTCTGCATTCTGCAGAGGATGTGTTACGTTATTATGTTACTTAAATAAACAAAACATGACCGGGGTGCCCAAACCTCTGCAGCAGCATTTGTGCATTCAGCTAAATAATTCTAGCTCCTACCAAAATAACCGAATCTAACCAAACTGTAGTCAAATGTTTACATTTCATGATTCACTGAATTGATTCCTGAAGGATCTCATGAAATAAACATGATATTCACCTTTTCTCCTTTATTCCAAAGTGCAAAGAAAACTTCACCAACTTCTGAAATCACTGCACATCCTCAAAATGATACATTTCTTCTTTGTCTATTGTCTATTATAGACTACAGTTCCCATGATCCTCTCACCCGTGTTGGTGGCCTGGTCCATGGGCACAGGTAGCTGAACTATGTAGTCCACTCGTTGGGTGTACTTGGCCTTCTGAGACTGCTGGCACACAATCCTTTCCTCCACCAGGAACCGGAATGCTTCAGATGGGTTCGGACCGGACCGGCAGTTCCGCTGGGCGAGAGGGAGCGAGGAAGTGAACAAGCAAGAACTTGAGAAAGAAAGAAAAAGAGTGAGAAAGGGATGGAAGAACATCCATTACCTCCACCATGTTAATGAAGTGAAGGAGGAACTCCTGGGCATCTTGCTGCCGATTGGTGGAAAACTCAGGGTGGCCCCGCCCCACGAGGGCTTTGAACATGCGAGGTGCTATTCCAACCTGGTCCCCCTGAAAGAAACCATTATTGATGATTCAATAGGGAACCAAATGCAACTTCGAGGACTCGATTCTGACATAATTATAGGAAAAAAGTCTTTGTAAAGCAAAGCTATCAACATTTGGAATGTAATGCTATAGAAAAGATCATATCATTCACCTTTAATTAAACAAAAACACCGTTTCCAGTAATTACAGATCTACTAAAATGTAGTGGAAAAAGCACTGATATGCACTGATGTCGTGTCACCACAGATATTCTACAAATAGACCTCTTGTATTTCTTTATGAAACCAAAATTTTCTCCAGGTTCAACACCACAGTATATCATTAAAACCAAATCCAGCACGACTGACAGTACTGTGCAAAGCTCTGAGTTAACAGAATTAACGCTCTTATTTAATTTGGAGACCAAAAAAAAAATCAGCCATTAAGGACAAGTTATTAATTATTTAGTGTATTACACTATTATTGGTATTCCAGCTTCCATTCTTTTCAGGAGACTCAGAGACTCAGTCTTAGAAGCTGGTTGATCATTTTCTGAAGTAATCAAACACATTCAGTGGTGTTGGGGTCTGGACTCTGGGGTGGTCAGTCCATTGTTCAGCTTCTTTGTTTGATGTGTCCGTCTCCTTTTCTCAGTGAGGTTCTTCTTGACAGCTACACATCCTTTCAGACCCACAGCGCTGAGTCATCTTCTCACAGTGGAAGGATGGACAGAAACACCTGTGGATGTTTTCAGATCTGAAGCAGCTTGATTTTCTCCTCTCTCTCAGAGATGAAAGCTTTAAGTGCTGTTTATCTGATGGGGGCAGTTTTGGTGTCTTGCACGGTTGTCATTATTTAGTGCAGTCAAGTCTGTTCTGACTCCTGGTGACCATTTGGGTTGTGTTTTTCCAGAATATCATGTCTTCTGTTTGGCTCTTCTAAATGGCTGGTTCATGATTCCTTTGACTGCATCCATCCATCTTGTAGCTGGTCATTCTCTCCCTTTTTTACCTTCAACTCTCCCAAGCATAAATCATCTTTTTCAATTAATTGTTTTTGCCCAAAATATGTCCAAAATAAAAGCTTCAGTGTGGTTATCTGGGCTTTGAGTGAGAGGTGCGGCTTGATTATCCATTTCTTTGTTTTCTTTCTCTATAACTTTTAATCAGTTTTTGAAGTCCAGGTTTGGAAACTCCTGTTTTTTTTCCACCTCTTTTTCTTTTGACTTTCTCCTTCCTTATGCAAGAGGTTTATCTTATATCTAATCTCTTCAGAAGTATATCCTGAATAACTTGTACGTAATGGCTCCTTTGACTGAAACTAAATAACTGAAGGGTGGTCTCTGACTTTTCCACAGTACTGTATAACTTTATCTTAGTAATGCACTGAGCTTGAACAAATACAGTCAAGTCCTACCCTGGGTTCAGAGGACGCGCTGGGGTCATCCCCCGGGTCAGGAGTAGGCTTAGAGTATTCCCCCGAGAGTAAACCATAGCCCAGTTTTGCTCTGCCAAAGAGAAAAGTGGAAGACACTCAGAGGAAAGAGTTTTCTGACCATCTTTAAAGCAACCAGTGCATCTTCTCTTCTATTAGCCCTGAAACTATCATCACCCTCCTGCGACCTCTGCTGGAGGAATAAAGTATCACAGGCACTGTCTGACTTTCTTTTAGAGAGGTGTAATTATAGTGCTTTTCCATTTTGGTAAACAGAAATAGCTTCTTTCATGAGCCAAATTAAGCAAAAAACCAAAAACCAAATTAACTGCAATTTTTCTCAAGAAATAAATATGATTTCAATGAATTTAAAACAATTTACAATTTGTTTTGATGCACTATAATATTTCCTGAATATTGAACTGCTGAATCATGTCCCTGTTCAGTGTAAAGAATCGAACCATTCTTAATGAACAAAACCAGCTTATTAATGCAATCAAAAACCAATGAACTGTGAACTGAAACTATTTGATCTTAGCTCAAAGATTCAAGCCACTATCCCAGAGTCAGCCATACTACTACTACTACTACTACTACTACTAATAATAATAATAATAATCATAACAACAACATAATTTATAGAGCACTTCTCACACTGGTGGCAGCTCAAAGTGCTTTACAGAAAAATAATTATTTCTAACAGCAATAGAATACATTAAAGTTCTGACTTTTTTTATATTGCAGTTACTGTCCGGTAACAGCAATATAATAAAGCAATAAATTAAATTTTATATTATTAATTGAATTACGAAGCAATGAGATCAAATTAAAAGGATAAATTCAAAAAGAGAGGTTGAAACTTCATTAAATAAAATAATATTTTCAAATGTTGCTTATACTGCCTGAATCAAGCTTAACGGTCGAATAAAAGGTGGAACTGAGTTCAGAAACAGAATAACAGAGAGAGGCCTCTCCATGTTTTCTATATTTTGCAGAAGGCAATTATCAATAGATCTAAGACTGCATGATGTAACATAGACAGACATTCGGTGCTTCAAGGCTATTTAGAGCTTTAAAAACTAGTGAGAGAACTTTAAAATCTATCCTGAAAGACACTGGCAGACAGTGAAGTTCTTTCAAAACAGGGGTCATTTGCGCTCTCAGTGCTGCTGCATTTAGTCTGAGTCTGGAAAGTCATCAATTCGGCTTGTAATGTATGAACAAATTTACATGCACTGCTCTGAGATAGAAAAGGCCCGACCTTAGGCACATTCTTCAAATAAAAAATAATAAAAATAAAATACTCACACTTGTGTTTTAAAGTCCTGCGTGGGGTCACCTGGAGCTTCATCTACAATCTTGGCAAAGCTGGAGACGTACCTGTCAGGAGAAAAACAGTTTTAGAAGTTCAGCATAAAGTATTACAATACATCACTTTAGATTCAGCATTCAGATCTGATACATTCCTGTATTTGCTAAATATCCTACTGGTCAGTTCTGCCTTGCCCACCTTCAGCATGAAACACAGCCAAGCCTTTAAACATGCACAGTTCTCCAGTGGTGTAATGACTTCGTAGTTTTCTCAATGTTTCGAAAACTCCTCTCAATGCAACTACATTAATTTACAAAAAAAAAAAAAAATGCTAAAAATGAAATGAACTGCATTTTTTTTTTCCAAAAATGTTTAAACAACTAATGTTTCATAACCCATTTTTGCCTAAAAAATATTTTAGGAAACGCTTCAGAAATAATTTTAAGGCATTTGAAAAGTTCTTGAAGCTTGAGTCGCTGAAACAAACTGTTACATTATTGTCATGCAATTTGAACAGACTGTAAATGTAACTCTTCTTTAGTGAAGGACGTTTTGATGTAGTTACCACTACACAACTTGGGGCTGTTCCCTAAAGAAGCTCAGAGAATCTACCAGAGAAAATAGAGAACAATAAACCATGACAGGCTGGGCCGACGGTGGCCAATAGGGTTTAGAAGGAAAATGTTTGTTTGAAACAGTTTGCTTTCAAGATGCCTTTTAGAGTCTTTTACAGTGAACACAACGCCAAACAAACATACTCACATACACAAACACAAGGGATGGGCATTATATAACATATATACACCAATCAGGCATAACATTCTGACCACCTCCTTGTTTTTACGCTCATTGTCCATTTTATCAGCTCCACTTACTATATAGGTGCACTTTGTAGTTCTACAGTTACAGACTGTAGTCCATCTGCATACTTTGTTAGCCCCCTTTTACCCTCTTCTTCAGTGGTCAGGACCCCCATGGACCCTCACAGAGCAGGTATTATAGCACTGCAGTAACACTGACGTAATACAAGGTAGGTGTGTCTAATAGAGTGGACAGTGAGTGGACACAGTGTTTAAAAACTCCAGCAGCACTCCAGCAGAACAGTACCTGCTCTGTGAACGTCCATGGGGGTCCTGACCACTGAAGAACAGGGTAAAAGGGGGCTAAAAAGTATGCAGAGAAACAGATGGACTACAGTCTGTAACTGTAGAACTACAAAGTGCACCTATATAGTAAGTAGAGCTGATAAAATGGACAATGAGCGCAGAAACAAGGAGGTGGTCTTAATATTATGCCTGATCGGTGTATAATACATTTAATGTATGAGAGCCAAACTCGAGTTGGTATTTGTTTACTTGATCAGGTATTTGAATAAGGTGTCTGTGGCTTAGAATTAACAAAAAATAAATTAATGATGTATTACTGCGTTATCCAGAGCAAGTGGAGACAAGAGAAGCTGATATCGGTATGTCAGACGAAACGGCCACGTTTAAGCAGAGCCGAATATGAAAATATTTCAAAGCATAAAGATGATAAATTTGTAGAGTGTGAAGTTAACGTTAGGTATTTAAGCAGAATGTGTGCCAAATTAGAGGTTCCCAATCCCAGTCCTTAAAACCCCATGTGTGTTTTCGACACACAATGCGGCCAAAAATGAGTTTGTTCTGCATAATTAAATGGTTAAGGTGTAGGTAAAGTCAGATTGGTTTGGTGTGAAATGCTCTGTTCTAGAGAAACTTGTCAAATCAGAATTGTGGACAACAGTGGTGGCGGGAACCAGACGTCTAAATGCCACATTCAAAATGACGCCTCTAGATTGCTGCTAGATGGAAATGCGTTTGTTCACATAAATAAAAACTGGTTAAAATGCCCATCCATAACAGAAAGAGTAACACTGACAGGCACTGACTTTTCCTGGAAGTCGGGGATGGTGAAGAGCACTTGCATGACGGAGTTGAGGTAGCAGCTGTTCCCCAGGTTCTTCATGCCTGTGAGCCCGGGGCCCCACAGTGGCCTCAGAGTGGCACCGGACTCCTGGATCACCTCCCACTCGCCCACACGCTGGTTCACTGCGATTTCCAACTCCGTCATAGTGCGCTCCGTCTGACAAACGCAGACAGAAAAAGGAGAGAAAAAGAAACAGAATAATTAAAATCACTTTTGTAAACGAGCCACATCACACATTTTTCCTAAATCTTTCATTTTTCCAGCTTCTCTTGATCCCTTGGTATTAAACAGGCTGTTTGAGTTACTGTGCGATTAAAACTGATATATGTAAATGAGCTACGTGAGTGGGCAGGGCTAAACTGCTGTAGGCTCATCATTTTCGAAGGTGAATTATTGTGAGGTTCGACATTTACACCCATACGCCTCACCTTCTCCATGGTCATCATATCAATGCCAAAGTGAGAGAGGTGCTCAGCCAGCTTCGAGTCCAACACCATGTCATCTTCATCATACGAATAGACGTCTGAAAAACATTTTTAAAAACGTGAAGTTCTTAGAAATAACATTTAAATGGGAACAGGAACTGAACCAGCTTGGATTCCATTCTATGTGGGACCGGATATGGTCTAATCTGATTGTTACCTCGAAGAATCTGGCTCATCATTTTATTAATTTTAAAGGTATACACAGGGCCCACATTACGTCCACATTAACTCAAAAACGATTAATCTTTGCCGGTCTAACTGCTGCTAAAGAGACTTATATATTGGTTTAATCCAAATATGCAACTATCCCAACAATGGTTATTATTCTACTATGATATTGTCTCCCTTGAGCAGACTGCTGCAATGATAAAGCTAAACCAGCTACAATACTGGTGTGGGATACAATTAAATCTCTAAATCTCTTTTTTAGTAGAGAGCTTTTATTTAGTACTAGCCCATTAGATGAAGGCCCACAAAACTCACCCTATACTTATTTTCTTTGGCGTGACAGATTTATTTGTACTTGTATAGACTGTGACCTTGACAAGACCTATCCATGTTTGTTTACACTGAACAGGAACGTAAGTTACATATCTGTTAAAAGCTAATAAAAAGTTGATCACAAACACTAAGTTCTCATTTAAAAATAATCCAAGTCGGCTCCCGAGTGGCGCAACCATCTAAGCGTTGGCCCTATCATCAGGAGATCGCGAGTTCGATTCCTGGTGATGCTACAGCCGTCCGTAGCCGGGAGCCTCGCTCTCTCTGGGTGGGTGGGATGGCTGCCTTTCTCCCCCCATCACTCACTCAGCGCGATGCTAGTCAGCGCAGGCGTCTGTTAGCTGACGTAACAGATCTGGCGGTTGGCGCTTCCCTCCGAGCGCGTTCGGCTGTCCAGTGACGTTGCGTGAGCGGCAGTTCGAAAAGAAGCGGTGGTTGGCTTCACAGGTCTCGGAGGAAGCCTGTGTTAGCCTTCACCCTCCTAGCGTTGATAGCGTCATGTGTGATTGGGGGAGTCCTAACTAGCGGGTGGAATTGGAGACGACTAAATTGGGGAGAAAATCGGGGTAAAAATTGGAAAAAAATAATATATAAAAAAAATAATCCAAGTCAAAAAAGACAAGCCCCATATTTATGCTCTTATGTATGTACCTTTTACACCTCAAAGATAAAACAGCATAACGAGCGTCTTATCAAAGTGTAAAGGTTATGACACAGTTAAGTTTAAACGCTTAAGCCGAAAATTAAACAGTTTCTAAGTTGAATAGTGCGTGTGACTATTTTCCACCCCCAGTCCTTTCATAGTTCAAAAGAACTGAGAAATTGAGGAACAATTCATAACTAATGACACACATATTTCGTTAGGCAGTGAACAGTGAACAGATTAAAGCACAACAAAAAGCCTTCCTCCAGTTCCTCCCATTCTTACCAGCTCCATCCGGCGTAATAGTACCCAGTTTGACAGCCAGTGGGTATCCGGTCTGCTGGAAGTGCTGAAGGGCATGGTTATTGCCCCCTGAGCCATCAAAATATCTCCGACCACACAGGACCTTCCCGTCAGTCAAGTTCATCCAGAGATTCTCCTGAAGGTCGCACACCTCGCACCTCCACCCACTGACCAATCAGAACAGACAGAGTAATGAAGATAAATTCATAACAGCACGTTAACTGAATTAATTATATGTTAAAGCAACAGTTTGACCCAAAAACTTTATTTCCAAATACACCACATGTAGTTTCGGATGTTGTAAAACATACTATTACCTATAAACATGACAGACAACATTCAAGGATTGCTTCAGGATGCTGCCACTACTCTTTTTTATGCAAACTACTTTTGTCAGAAACCACTTTATCTTATTAAGTCTATCTGAGATCAACTTAAAGGAGGCGTGTGATGATTTAAGCACGCAGCTTTCACAATTGGTGGGGTATTAGCTTCCATTGCCTGTTACCTACATTAGCTACAAAGCTCCAGTGCAAAACTAAAGAAACTTCAGCCACCAAATGTCTTCACTAATCAACTACATTCGAGCAAAAATTGTGTAAATCGAATTTTTTGGCTAAAAAACCTAAAGTGAGTTTTCTGTTGTCTGTATTGTCTTTGTGTAGATACAGTGCAAATCTAAGGTCTGAGGGAACAGGATTCTAGTTCACATTTTTTCCAGTTTAATACAAAATCTGAGTGAAAAGGAGAATCTTTGAAAAATTTACATGAATTTCAAAAAAGTGTTTCTCCCCGATTTGCTTTAATGACAGCGTGCACTCAGGGGCCGGATTCACGAAAGTGTCTGAAGAAAAAAAATCTTCTTAAATGTGTGTTTTTCCTTCACTTTATTCTTAAAAAAAAAAGTTTCCAAAAATGTTATTCTTCAAGAAAGTTTTTAAGAACTGTCTTATTTTCTTTTCTCAACTATTTTCTTAAGAATAGTTCTAAGAACGAGTGGTATTCCTGAAAATATTATGTTCTTAAATGTTTTCTTAACCGTACAACAGCCTCACACAGTGGTGAGCGTCTAAATTTATCTGATTTATCAGTTAAGATAATCTTGAGAGATTCTTAGTGTTTGTCTTAAGAACCTTCATTTTTCCTTAAACGTTTTCATGAATCCAGCCCCTGATCTCTGAGTAGATCCCCCTGAGAGTCGACTGAACAAGAGAATCAATAGACAGAATAAGATTAAAAAACAATATCTGTGTCACTGACCTTAACATGGTCAGTGACACAAATTTTCTTAGATTTTAACAGGGATTTAGAAATAGTACAGAATCTGCAACATTTCTTCTTCATTTTATTTGTCATACCTTCCTTTGATGTAATTATTTTCAAAATTTTAATATGTTCTATGGCTTGTTTCCAGGATTAACTGAAAATAATCTCAGATATAAATGTCAAATTGTTAAAAGTAAACTGTACAACTGTTAATATTTATTCCTACAGTCCATAGTCAGTAGTTCATTCACTGGAGGGACTGGCCCCAGCGTGTCTCCTGCATAGTATTCATGCAGTTACTTTATATTTCTGTACTGCACATTGCTCTTATTATTTATTGTTCAGTATATTTTATTCTATTTTTTATCTCTACTTTCTTTGTACATCTCTCTAAATAGTGTACGGCAATACTTTGCTCTGGTTCATCTCTTTACTGTGCTCTGTACTGCTGCAATAGCAGAACTTCCCTCTGGGATTAACACAGTGATCTACCTCTATCTATTTACATTTGTGGTCAGACTTTCAGACTCTGTATATCTCGATCTGACTGTGTGGTTTCGTTTGGTCGGCTCTGTGGTAGATGTTACACGTGGCTGCGTTTATGTGTACCTGGGAGGAATTTTGACTCCGTTGTCGAGCTGTTTGAGCTCAGCTGCGTGTTTGGACTCCTGCCGCACTTCACCGTCCCACTGCTGCACCTGCAGAGCGTGAGACACCGAGTCTGCAGCCAGCAACCCTGCCATCGACAGAGACACCTGCACACAGACGCAAACGGTTACAAGCACTTGTTAAGTGTCAATAACATTACCACTGGTCATGGCACATTTTGGATTTTACGCTTTGTTTTCTTGCAGTAAGATAAACCCAGCAAATAAATAAAAACTGTGCAGTGAAATGTGTAGAGATGTGAAGAAAATGTGCTTATTTGACTTTAGAAAATCAACAATACATGTCATTTGACCAGGGGTGTGCAAACCTTATAGTATATGCTAGTAGTAGCAGTAGACACTGCATCATAATTACTGCGTGAAAGGGAATGAAGCCTCAACTTGCAACTAAAACTACAGTACAGAAGGATATAAAATGTCCTGACAATGTGTTAATATTTTCAAAAGCCATGCAGAATCGATGCCATTTAGAATTAGAAAATCACATTTACATGCCAGCTTCATGAAAACAATACATAAGGAATACATAAGGAATAATGGAGATTGATGCCTAAGATACAACTCATAAAATAGCAGTCTTACTCGCTCTCTCACTACGTCAGGCATGGTGGCCAGGTCCTCCGATGTCACCTCCTGTCTGTCTGGAAAAAGGACAACCTTGACATCTTCCTCATACTGCTCCTGCTCAACATCGAACCCGCCCTCGATACCTGAGAGACAGAGAGATGCAGAAAATAAGCCCAATGCAGTTACAAAATCACTCATCGAATCATAACGTATTAAATCAAAACATATCAGACTGGCACAAACGGGGAAAATCAATTCATAAAACTGAACTGAGTTGAGACTCTTTCATTGGTCTTACTGAAACTGTTGTACGCTTTAGTGCTGAGCAGCACTGGTTCAGTTTAATATTGCAAATACATCAAAGCACCAGACAACACACTCTTAAACAAGAGACGTCTTCAAGGGTTCTTTAGTAAAGACAGTAGTTCTATATAGAACAACAACCGTTTGCATGCTTAAAGGGTTCTTTGCATAGTGAATTGTTCTACAGATTGATGGAGAACGTGTTGTACATCGCTGCCGTCAGAACAAAACCTTGTATATCCATTTTTGTCGTTTTTCGGTTTTAGGCATAATTTGAAAACGCCTGTTGTTCTTTACATTCTGTGTAAATTTTATGATCACTGGACCAAAAGAAATGGCCCAAAATTACTTGGACAAAAAGTCTGTCCCCATTGATTTACAGTACAAGTGCAGTAGGTTTTTTCTTTCTCCTGTAAAGGTTCTATTTTGGAGATACAAGGTTTTGTTCCAACAGCAGCGATATGATTCTATATACAACCAAAAAGGGTTCTGCTACTGTTAAGACATGAAGCTTTTAACAATAGAAGAGCCAGTTTTGGTGTTGTATAGATATGGCTATATAAATAGGATGTGAGCCCTTGTAAATGTTAAAAGGAAAAATCAGTCATATTTTCAGTCATATAAAAATGCTTTTTTTCCCCTCAGCTTTCTTGTTGGCCAAATCAAACGGGTCAACTTCGGCTCACGGGCTTCACTTTGGGCAGGTCTGAAACAGACGACATCTTTCCCAGCACTATAGTATAACAGGGACACTGGGTGAACGCCTTTAGGGGTTTTTTTGTGTTAGGCCTGATTATTTCTGACAAAACCATGGAAAAAAGGGAATAATATGCTGTTTCCTTTAAATATGCAATTACAAATAATCAGTCAATCAATCTCTACTGTGCTGGTTAAAAAATGTTTCTGCCACTCAGTTTTGGTTTCGCTTCTGCAAAATTACTTGTATGCAAATGTAATGCAGTGTTTCCACTGACATAACACGTGTAATTACGACTCTAACCCTACAACAAATTTCAGATTGCTGCACAGCACAGCGAGCGACAGAATTTGAATGCATTTGCATGAATTAGAACTGAGCAGCTGTGACTCCCTTCTGTCCTTCCCTGATATTATTTTTGGCTGTCTGATATACACAACACAAGCCACGTTTACATGCAGCCTAATAATCCGTTAATAACCCGACTAATAGCTCAATCGGAATAGAATACGTCCATGTATGCACCTCAATTAGACTAGTCTGATTGAGGTGATTTAGAATATAATTTCTATCCGACTGATCGAGGTGGGCAATCCTGTAAATAATCCGTTAAATAGAAGAATAATAGCCGTGTAAACGCCTGTATCTGATTACATTCCCTATCAGAAAGTTTCAGTCCGTTCTGATCATGTTCGTCGCGTCATAGTGAAGGTTTATACCGTTCAACATGGCGGAGCAGAAACTGGTCTGCAGAGGAGACGAAGTTCATGCTCTGATCTTTAAAAGACGGCGGTGGGACGGACGTCCAGCTTATGTGTCTCAGAACACGACGTCTTCCTCTCGGCCTTCTTTAATAAGGACACGTGAAGGACGTTTTCCTGAGTCTGACATCATTTTAAAGTAATTAAAAACACAAGCACTGCTCACTGCTGCTCATCTCACTCTGACTGGACTCACGTGATGCTGGTTGTCATGGTAACTTCTACACTAAGCGGTTCTCTACGCATGAGTGTCATTTTGGATCTGATTACTTGTAGTGAGCACGCAAACGGAGATTTTAATCAGATTTTGGAGCAGAGTGAGCATAAACACCTCAGTCTTAATTATAATCAGAATGTATATAATTGGATTGGCAAAATTTGCATGTAAACACAGCCACAGAAAGATGAACACTGAATAAGCACTAAACTTGAGGTCTACTACCAGACCCGAAATATCAGTTTTGGGGCTAAGGACGTTTTTTTAATGAGCGATTTTGTATTATTTCTAGCTGTTGGCCGTGGACAAAATAAAAAATAAGCTTGTTAAAGGTCAGGGACATCTCCACTGTGGAAACATTACGACCCAGTTGTTACATCAGATATAAAACACAATGGTCTCGTACACCGTAGAGCTTGAGACAGTATTCTGAGGTCTGACAGAAGAAGGACACGTCGTCACGTGTAGACGTTCCACACAAACAAAGGTCACTGTCAGAGCCTCCTCGGACCAGCTAGGTCCGCGTCGGCTACAGCAAAAGCTCAAGGTTTTTTTTATTATTATTTCACTTTCTGTCACTCAACGCAAGCAATTAGTAACAAAGCAAATCACTCCTACTCAGGTTTGGGCTTCAAATTTAGCAGCACCAGTCAGGCCTGGAGGGGTCGAGTCTCAAAGCTGCATGCAGACCTCTACACTGAATAGGCTCCTACCTATGGCCAGTCGAGTGGGCTTCTTCTTTGGTGGGTCACCTGAACCGGAACTGTTGTCATCCTCTTTCTGAAATACAGAAACAGCAGGTAAATTACTATTTCACTGACATATCTAACAAAACATGTTGGGTAATGGAAGGAGGGGTACAACTAATGATCTGGACTTCTAGTGATTAATTACTAGGTAATTGCTTAATCTCAGTTGGCTCCCTACTCCCTATGTAGGGCACTATGTAGGTCATGAAATTCACCAAAATACTAGAAAGTCATTTGAGATTCAGCCACAGGCTGTAGAACTTAAAAGCCCCTGTCAACCAGGTTACAAGTGTTAACACTGTTGTTTTAACAGTAAAGGTATACAATGTAAAAGGTGTTTACCATATACATATATATATACACATTTATATAGATATATATATATGGTAAACACCTTTTACATTGTATACCTTTACTGTTAAATATATATACTATAATGGTGCAGTCGGAACAAAATCTCATATCTCCAAATTGGTAACATTGCAGGAGAAGGAAAAAACCAAACTGTATTTTTACAAGTCATTTTGGGCTATTACTTTTGGTCCATTCATCATTATGTGTAAAACACAAAAAAAAAAAAAAAAAAAGGAAAAACAACAAAAATGGAGATACAAGGTTTTGTTCCGACAGCAGCAACATATATGTATACTATTTATATATATATATATATATATATATATATATATATATATATATATATATATATATATATATATATATATATCACACACACACATACATACAAAACCTTGAATCTCCAAAAAAGTAACACAAAGGACAAGGAAAAACGTTCTTCACTTTTAACGGAAGTAATGAAGACATCCTCCCCCCAAAGTCATTTTGGACAATTTCTTTTGCTCCATTCATTGTGATATTTTGACATATAGATATAAAGGGCAGTTGCCTTTTTCAAACTAAATCAAAAAATGAAAAATGACAAAAATGAAAATACTAGGTTTTGTCCCGATGGCAGGGACATATACTAATCCAGTTTAATCGTAGATAATTGCTCCCAAAACGCCCAGCTGCTCTGAACTGTGCGGGTGTGTCAGAGCACAAACTGGTTGCCAGAGAATTGGCTGACTGATGCAAAACGGAGAACAAGCTGTCTAACAGCCATTTTAGAGTTATAATTACATTTTGCAGCTAGTATTTGAGAACTCAGGCTTCTGTGTCTTATGACAGGTAGATCACAGACATATCGTGCCTGATATTTGACTCAGCGCTAACGTTATATCCGTAACCCGTGGCGCGGTAGCGAGCTAACTGCTGGACTGCGCTCTTGAAACCGAGATCACAGTCTCCCATTATGAGTCAGCACAGTCTTATCTGCAGACACTGTGGAGAATTTTCCTCATGTGATTTACTGTGCATCATGCCTGTCAAGTACGATCACAGGGAAACACTGAGAGTCTCAATGGTAAGGAGGGGGTTGCTAATGTAACACTAAGCTAATGTATCATTTCAGATAATTCCTACAGTTAAGGTGGACTGCTAGCTAAATGAAGTTAATCTCTTACAGTAGGATCCTCAAGCTCAAGCCATTTGAACGTTTTTACTTCTTACTTTGCCACAAACAGAAAATGGACACTTTTAAGATCACATTTGACCGACAGCCGATTTGGTCAGACTCTGAAGATGAGACGACACTAAATTCCCAAACTGTCATCACCACTGAGCAGCTTTTCAGTCGGCAGCTGAGACAGAAGAACAGCTGAACAACCTGGAATCAGCCAGAAATGAACCCAATACCATTCGCCAAACTAAATGGGCTGTAAGATGCTTTACAGACTGGCTGGAACAAAACATTAACACATTAATACTGATCTGGCAAAAACTGACAAAACTGAGCTGAACCTGATATTGTAGCAGGTTTATGGCTCAGTCTGATTTGGTCAGACTCTGAAGATCAGACTACACGTTTGGCGAATGGCATTCGGTTCATTTCTGGCTAATTCCGGGTTGTTTAGGTGTTCTTCTGTCACTTGTCTCATCTGTGCATAACATCTTGTACCAGAATGATGGGAAGAGAAGACTGTTGATGAGTAGACAGGGGCTTTAAAGGAGAACTCCACCAATTTTTTAAAAATTCTGCATAATGACATTGTTATGATGTAAACAGCGTCATTCAGAGTGGTTTGGTGTGAAACGCTCTGTTCTAGAGAAACTTGCCGAGTCAGAACTGTTCACAGTGGTGGTGATAGGAACCAGATGTCCACCTCTAAAAGCTCCTGTTTTCAGATAATTTAGTGGTGAAGTTTTGGTCTAAAACATATTATAACCCATTCATGGTGGAGGGATACATGGAACGTGTTCTAAAGCAAAATATTTTTAATATATAATGTAATTATATATTATACATATTACATAATTTGGCCGTGAACGCTGCATTTAAAATGTTTTAATTTTTACAGTTCCTTCTGCCGAATTAAAGTTCCTTAACAAGCTCCGTCAGAGTAACGACAGCCGGCAGTTCGTTCTCCAGCTCCTTACACTAAATTCCCAAACTGTCATCACCACTGACCAAGCTATTGCGGCAGTTTTGTGCCTCAGTCCGATTTGGTCAGACTCTGAAGATCAGACTAGACGTTTGGCGAATGGTGTTGGGTTCATTTCTGGCTGATTCCAGGTTGTTTAGCTGTTCTTCTGTCTCAGCTGCCGACTGAAAAGCTGCTCAGTGGTGATGACAGTTTGGGAATTTAGTGTCGTCTCATCTTCAGAGTCTGACCAAATCGGCTGTCGGTCAAATGTGATCTTAAAAGTGTCCATTTTCTGTTTGTGGCAAAGTAAAGAAGTAAAAACGTTCAAATGGTTTGAGCGTCTCCTACAGCTGTCAAAGTCGTTGCTTAGCAACAGCGTCTCAGCGGAGTGATACAGTGTTTGTGAAAAACCTGTGATGTTATGGCGAAATAACAGCACAGTTAGAACACTTCTCAACCAATCAGCTTGCGTGGCCGAAACTAACTGTTGTACAAATAGTAAATCTGCACTGTGGACATCAGGACCCCTAATTTCTATCACCACCACTGTAAAGAAATCCAAATCAGCAAGATTCTCTACGATGAAGCGTTTCAAACCAAACCACTCTGAATGGCTCTGTTTACATCTCAAATTCTGAAAAATCAGAGGAATTATTCTACAAGTGCAGTGCAGACAGTACAGCAGTGTACTATACAGGGGCAGAGAGCCATTTGAGGTTCAGCCACTGAATCCTACTCATTAAGGGCAGGGCTGACGTTACCTGGGCCTTGCGGGTGCGGGTGATGTGTAGATAGGCCCTCTGTCCAGTTCGGGCGTGGTGTCTCTCCACAAACTGACCCCCAAAGCCGAGAAAACTGTTCATGCAAACATACAAGCCACCCTCACTCTCCTGAGACGGGACCAAAAACAGAGAAAAAAGGGTTTCTGGTTATTAAAAATGCATCCCACATACATTATACGCCTTTAATAACAACTGTTTTAGCTGCACTCTTAAAAAAGATGGTTCTTTAGTGAAGACAATGGTTCTATACAGTACCATGAACACTCAGCATGCTTAACTGGTTCTATTCATGGTGAAACAGTTCTTCAGGTTAATGTAGAACGTGTTTTATAGGATTCCATGTAAAAAACCTTTACGGAAATGGTTCTATGTAGGAAAAAGAGTTTTTCTATTGTCACGATGTCAAACTTGTAATAGAACAATCTTTAACAAGATGGTTCTTCAAGGGTTCTTTAGAAAACCAAAGGTTCTATGAACCTTTCACCATGAACATTCAAATAACCATTTACTTGCTTAAATGGTTCCGAACACAGTGAAATGGTTCTTTAGTGTTGATGCAGAATGTGCTGCATAGGGTTCTATGTAGAACCTTTTTGGAAATTGTTCTATATAGGATCAAAAGGGGTTTTTCTATTGTTCCGATGTCAAGCTTGTAACAACAGAGCATTCTTAGACAAGATGGTTCTTCGAGAGTTCTTTAGAAAGACAACGGTCCCATACAATACCATGAACACTAAAAGAACCACTTGCATGCTTAAATGGTTCTGCGCATGGTGAAACGGCTTTTAAGCTTGACGTAGACCGTGCTGTATAGGGTTCTATGTAGAACCTTTTGAACGAAAAACATTTTTTTTTCTATTGTTATGACGTCAAGCTTCTAACAATAGAACACTCAAACAAGATAAAGACAATGGTTCTATATAGAACCATAAACACTCCAAAAAAAATGCTTTAAATGGTTCTTTGCATGGTGAAATGGTTCTTCAGACTGATTGAGAACGGGCTGTATGTGGCTCTATATCAACCCTTTTCGCAAATGGTTCTACACAGCACCAAAAGCTTATAGCAATGTAAGAACCATTTTTGGGGCGATACAGAACTGTTTTTAAAAAGGTTCTATTGCTACAATAAGTTACCCATTCTCCCTCAATCTAAAGAACCATGAAACGGCTCTATATATGACTCATGATTCTAAACAGAACCGTTTTTCTTTTACTAAAAAACCCTTGGAGAACCACCTTTCTTAAGAGTGTAGTCAGCAGCCGGTATCCAGAACCAAAGCTGCACATTTCGGACGTAGGAACGTTAGCTAGCACTCTCATTACTCAGCAAACTGGCCGCTGCTGCTAGCGCACACTTTAGCTTAGCTTAGCTTATTAGACCTAACGCTAGCAGGCTAACGCTAACCTAGCTAGCTTTGATTATGCGTCTGTTCATAAACACTCAGCTTTCTCTGACACAGCTAACAAGCTTAAACAGGCAGAACTAACTGAACTAACACGGCAGGGCAGCTACCAAGATAACCCGGGCTAACTTTTGTGAAACCGTGCTAAATTTCTGAACGAGGCTAGCTAGCTTGCCAGTTAGCCGCGCTGCTAGCTCGCGAATCCCAGCATCATCAACGTAGCAGAAACGTAATAACACGAAAATCATGCACCCGAATCTCATACACGGAGCCGTTACTGAGCGACCCGATTCCGGTGTAAATTAGAGGGGAGAGCGCTTACAGGGGAGACGAATGAGAAGGCGCACTCGTCCTTATGGACTCGGTCCCCGGGCCTGGGCACCCGCACCGTGGACAGGACTGACATCAACACCTCGCTAACCTCCGCCATCTCTTCCTAGATCACTGCGCCGCTTTGTTTTCACACCACTCGACCGGCCTGCTCGTCTTTTCGCTCCCAGACCGCGATCTCCACAGTCCCGGTGTCCGGCTTCTCTACAGCCCCTCTTTTCCTCTGTTTCTCTCCCCTCAGCGAGCTGCTCTCCGTCCGGCGCTCCGCTCCATTCAAGGCCACCAAGGCGCTACAGGATCCGCTCCGCTGTTTGGACCGTAAACAGCCTCATAGACGCGCAGCTACATTTTCAGAGGGCAGGCAGTGAGGAAGTCAACCGCCACTGGAGAAAAATATCAATTTAATAAGTCGTGATAATGAGAAGGTTTCCCACAATTATGACTTAGAATCTCATTATTATGATCCAGTTACTCATTATGATTTGATATCTCACAATAATGAGGTTCTATCTCACACTCACGACTTTATACATATCATAATAATGATACAAATTTCTCATAATTAGAAAAATAGAAAGTTAGTCCTAATTATGAGATTGAATCTGATCGTTATGAGATACTAAATCGTAATTTATGAGACAGTAAGTCATGATTATGAGATTTTAAGTCATTATTATGAGATGCTAAGTCATAATTATGACAGTAATTATTATGAGATACTAAATCAATTATGAGAACGTAATTATTATGAAATACTGTCATAATTATGAGATATTAAGTCATTATTACGAGATGCTAAGTAAAAATTATAAGATATTTAGTCTTTATTATGAGATGCTAAGTTAATATTATGAAATATTAAGCCATAATTATGAGATTAAATCTTATTATTATGAGATACTAAGTCATAAATAGGACACAGTAAATGATAATTATGAGACATTTATTGGTAATTATGACATAGTAAGTAGCAATTCATCATTATGAGATACTACATCATAATTGTGAAATATTAGGTCATATTTATGAAAGTGAATATCACCTCATTATTAGATACTAAGTGAAATATGAGAAAGTAAGTCATAATTATGAGATACAAATTATGAGTTACAATCTTATTATTATGAGACACCAAGTCATAATTATGGGATACCAATTCATAAGTATGGAGAACTTTGTCATTATTATGACTTACTAGACAGCTATACATTTTTCCCAGTGGTGGAAATGGGCTTCCATAAGATGGTGGGACCAAGGGGTGTAAATGTCTGACCTCATAACAACACAAACCTGAGTCGATTATTTTGGTACCATTTATAATGATTTTGAACACACAAGTGTGACAAATGGAACTATTTAAAGCTGGTTCTGTCACCACCACTGTAAATAAATCTGCATCTCTAAGTTTCTCTGCAATCAAGCATTACACTGCAAACCACTCTGTGCAACTTTTTACATCTCAACCAATTAATTATTCTGAGATTTTGAAAAACTGGTGGAATTCCCCTTTAAAAGTGGAACACACCCAGCATCTATTTGCATATGAACTGAAGTAGAGCTACATTCTTCACCTTTTTTGGAAGTTATTCATTTAGATTGCATTCACTACATGATACACCTATACATACACAGATCAGGCATAACTTTATGGCCACCTCCTTGTTTCTACACTCATTGTCCATTTTATCAGCTCCACTTACTATATAGGTGCACTTTGTAGTTCTACAGTTACAGACTGTAGTCCATCTGTTTCTCTGTGTACTTTGTTAGCCCCCTTTTACCCTGTTCTTCAGTGGTCAGGACCCCCATGGACCCTCACAGAGCAGGTACTATTTGGGTGGTGGATCATTCTCAGTACTGCAGTAACACTGACGTGGTGGTGGTGTGTTAGTGTGTGTTGTGCTGGTATGAGTGGATCAGACACAGCAGTGCTGCTGGAGTTTTTAAACACTGTGTCCACTCACTGTCCACTCTATTAGACACTCCTACCTTGTCAGTCCACCTTGTAGATGTAAAGTCAGAGACGATAGCTCATCTGCTGCTGCACAGTTTGTGTTGGTCATCCTCTAGTCCTTCATCAGTGGTCACAGGACGCTGCCCACAGGACGCTGTTGGCTGGATATTTTTGGTTGGTGGACTATTCTCAGTCCATCAGTGACACTGAGGTGTTTAAAAACTCCAGCAGCACTGCTGTGTCTGATCCACTCAGACCAGCACAACACACACTAACACACCACCACCACGTCAGTGTTACTGCAGTGCTGAGAATGATCCACCACCCAAACAGTACCTGCTCTGTGAGGGTCCATGGGGGTCCTGACCACTGAAGAACAGGCTAACAAAGTATCAGAGAAACAGATGGACTACAGTCTGTAACTGTAGAACTACAAAGTGCACCTATATAGTAAGTGGAGCTGATAAAATGGACAATGAGTGTAGAAACGAGGAGGTGGTCATAATGTTATGCCTGATCCGTGTATATATGTATAGCCTTATCTAAGGTGACCCTAAAGTCTGCTATCCTCTACACACACTCCCCTAATCCATCTCCACCCATCTTTCACTCCTCCCTCCTGGAGAGAGAGCTGCTCGCCCTCATTCCTCATCCCTCCTTCATCCCCTGCGCACCGCTATGGCTCTGAGAGTCGCCGCTGTATACGTGGCGCTCAGTCTCGCCTTGCTCTCCGCTTTGGGGAGCCTGTGCGGAGCCTCGGCTCCAGGCTCTCTCTCCGGCCTCCTGCCGCCTTACGACGCGCTGTACTACCTCGGAGTGCGGGCATATTTCAAGGAGGAGTGGGAGAGAGCTGCGGAGCACATCGAAAAGTCGATTTCGACCAGACAGGCCCTCCACAGGACCCGGAGAAAATGTCACGACGAGTGTTCAACGACCGGGAACGAGTTAGCGTCCGGACTAGGTTTGTTCATGAGGAGCAAACTGCTGTTGTTATTGTAGTTTAGGTAGCTGAAGCTAAAGAGTAGCCAGCCGAAGCAAAGTTGGCGTCTTGTTTGAATTTTCCGTTCCACCTTAAATGGTGCAGCAGGCGCCAGAATGTAACTGCTGCACCGTTTAAGGTGGAACGGAAAATTCGAGCATGGTAGCATCATAGTAGCCTAAGAACTACTACAGCTGTACACCAGTATACTGTGAAACGGTTACTTCACTAAAATTACTCAAGCTGAAGTTACCGACACACAAACGAACTTAAAGGGGAACCCCACCGATTTTTCAAAAATTCTACATAATTAAATGGTCGAGATGTAAACAGTCATTCAGAGAGGTTTGGTGTGAAATGCTCCGTCCTAAAGAAACTTACAAAGTCAGTTGCTTAGACTGGAGGAACTTGGTTCACATCTTAGCAATTTAATTGTGCAGAAAATGTGAAAATCCAGTGGAATTCTCCTTTGAAGCAAAAGAAGCAAATAACAAATACCACGAAATTCTTAAAGCCATGTAAACATTTCAAATATTCTGCTCTTCACTCAAATTGCTGTGCTGATAAAAGCATTTCTAATGAAAAACTTTGTATTAAATTAGAAAAGAATGCAAATAGAAGCATTTTGACTAGACTTTTGGATCCCACTGTAAGTAAAACTACACACTGAAAAAGGGTTCTTCAAGGGTTCTTTAGTAAAGGCAATGGTTCAGTTTAGAACCATGAGTGAACCATGAACACGAGTACAATTTTGAGGGGTTTGTACCTTTCCATGTACTTTCAAATGCTAGTATACACTTTAAAAAAAAGGTTCTTCAAGGGTTCTTAGTAAAAACAATGGTTCAGCTTAGAACCATGAGTTCTACATAGAACCATTTCATGCTTAAGTGGTCCTTTGCATGGTGAAATGGTTCTTTAGTTTGATGGAGAATGTGCTGTACATGGTTTTATACAGAACCTTTTTGACAGTTGTTCCATATAGCACCAAAAAGGGTTCTGATTTTACAATATCAAGCTTGTAACACTAGAAGAACCCTTTTTGGTGCCATAAAGAACCAAACATCTCTCTGATGCAGATGTTTTTTAAAGCAGTTATCTGCAGAGATGGATATGAATCTGATATCACTGTGCATCCCTGATTATTATTATGCGTTTGCTTATGTTTGTGTGTAAATATGTGGCGTCCAGGCACAGAAAAAGGCAGAAGCTGGGACTTGTTGGTACTTGACTGGATCCAGCAGCGAGCGGAGTGTATAAAGTTTTGTCTGGGCCAAAGCGTCACTCCTGCCGGGCAGCTTCCTGTATCGACGGACATCGAGTATGAATTTGGGACCCGGAACCCTTATAATTTCCTGCAGGTCACCTATTACAACGTAGGTTGAGTTTTGTTATTAAAGAAATACTCCAGTCCTTTTCAGCCTAATCGCTATCTGCTGAATCTGTATCATAACCATCAGTTACCACACACAGTCATTTTGACACAGTAACCCCCCCAGAACTTAGAGAAGAATACAAGAGCCTCCAGCTTAATACTCACTTATAACCGACGTCCTGGAGCAGCTGCTGAATATCGTGAATAAATGTTTTAAACGTAACTCAAATATGAAACTGCAGCTGTTACCATCTCAGAGAATGTCTTATCAACACTGGTCTTACAAACCTTTTTTTTGTTGATTTTTCCCAATTTTCCCCCCCAGTTTAATCATATCCAGTTCCACCCACTCGTTAGGACTCCCCCAGTCACACGATACCACCAGTGCTCGGAGGGTGAAAGCTAGCACACGCATCTTTTAGAGCTGCCGCTAACACAGCGTCATTGGACAGCTGAACATGCTTTTATGAACTTTTACACATCTTTCCAACACTGGAACACAAGTATTTCCTGTTACTTTTGCTTTCCCTGAGATTTGCTGGTAGCCAGGGTCGTCAGGTGGGGCCTGTGGGAAACTCCACCCACTACATTGCTACTGTCTCAAAAAAACCTTGCATCTCCATTTTTGTCGTTTTTCAGTTTTTGACATAATTTGAAAATGTCTGTAGTCCTTTACATTGCGTGTAAATTTCATAATGAATGGACCAAAACAAACGGCCCAAAATGACTTGGAAAAAGTCTGGTTCCATTGACTTGCATTACAGTAAAGTATGTTTTTCTTCTCCTGTAAAGTTATCATTTTGAAGATACAAGGTTTTGTTCCGACAGCAGGGATATTCCGGTAATGAATTACCACAAATCCTTTTCTCTGGAAAACTAGACCCACATCTGAAAGAACCAGTATTACAGACTTACAGCTTAATTTACAAACACCTGAAGAACTCATAGAAGTGTGCTACACCAATGGGCTTTACACATGAATGCTTACTGACAGAACTATGCAACTGCC